GGAGAGTACTCGAAAGCACTTTTGTTTCACGAAAAAGCACTTGAAATTCGAGAAAAAACTCTTGCTTCAAATCATTCTTCATTGGCTGCTTCATACAACAACATTGGTTTGGTGTATCACAATATGGGAAAGTACTCGAAAGCACTTTCGTTTTCTGAAAAGGCATTTGAAATTCGAGAAAAAACTCTTCCGTCAAATCATCCTGCATTGGCTAGTTCATACAACAGCATGGGGATGGTGTATAGGGAGATGGGACAGTACTCGAAAGCACTTCGAGCACAGGAAAAAGCACTTGAAATTCAGCATAAAACTCTTCCTTCAAATCATCCTCATTTGGGTACTTCATACAACAACATCGGTACGCTATATATCAAGATGGGAGAACACTCGAAAGCACTTTCATCACAGGAAAAAGCTCTCGAAATCTGTCAAAAAACTCTTCCTTCGAGTCATCCTTCATTGGCTAATTCATACTACAACATGGGTTTAGTGTATGAAAATATGGAAGACCATTCCAAAGCACTTTCATATTTTGAACGTGCTCTGAGGATATACGAGAGTGCATTACCTCCAACTCATCCTCATATTCAAAATGTGAGCAAGAGTATTGAAATTGTCAAAAAAAATTATAAAAAATAGTTAATAAATACATAATAGAATATTTTGTTGAATTATTTTTAAATTAGTTCTATTTGGTAGTGTCTCACGCGTGCGTACAGAGAATAATTCTGTAAATAATAAAAAAGCAATAGACATAGCCGAGTGATGAGGCAACACATACATGGGTATACGTATAAGTGACCTTCCCGAGCATATTTACATTTTTAATTCTTAAAGAGTATTCTCTGTAATAAAAAAAGATGAAAAAAAATATTATCTTAAACAGTAGTCTTGGAATAAAGCATCTTAAGAAGAGGAAAAATAAAAAAAATAAAAAAGAATAACTTACATGGAATTGAATTGTTCTTGAAACAGCTTCTCGTTAATGATAAGCAAAAACAATGAATGTTATTGCCACATGAAGTCTAAATATCTTCAGATTTTCTTTCTTCTGAGAGAAAAGACTATGGGAAATTTAGAGTCAAATATGAAAAGATAGTTCTATGAAGAATATATTACTGCCATAAAAGATCAATATTTTTCTGAAAAAAAAAGTCATTTTTACTATATCCGAGATAACCATAGTCTGCTATCAATATCAGTTAGATGAAGAATAGATTATATTGTCAAAACAAGTTATAATTATTATATTTATAACAATGTTCTGAAAAATCTTCAAAGAAAAACCATTAAAGAGTAAATATTGTGGTATATTTCTACTTATTACAGTATACCCTCAAGGAGAAGTACAATATTATACACTATGATTCGAAGATAAACTTTGTGTTATAAGAAAATCGATTTATGAAAATCTCATATGTTTATAGAAAATATTTAATTGTTTATAAAAGAAGACTTTAATTCTATTTTCATTAAAAATCACTTTGGAACTATTGATAAATTAGCAGTATTTTTTCAAAGATGTATAAAAACCATATCTATAACTTAGTCAATAACATTTACAATTCATATTTCTCGAATATAGCTACATCGAGTATGTAGAGCATACGGCTATATAGTATAGATATTCACTGTATAATAAAAATAAAAAAAAGTAAAATCTTTTTTACTGTTTATGGCAAACAGCAATATTTGTAAGAAAATCTTAATTAATAAAGGTAGTTCTGTTCATTTAAAATGATTTTAACATTTATTAATTGAATGAGTTTATTTTCAACAAGAAAACGGAAATGATGAAAACAGATGCAAATGTAGGATTATACGATCAAGTTTTATAGTAACTCATAATCACATCTAGATATTCGCATATACCGTGGAAAACATTTAACCATCAGTACCAATAATGGACAATTGTATAGAATGATACTCTTCTTTTCATTTCAATTTTCTCGAAATGTGAAAAAATGAATGGTATTAGTTCCCACTATGTCTTTATGTTTTGTATCTTGTTCCTAATTTACAGATAAGAAATTGTTTAAATTACCAATTAATAATTGATAATATACAAATATTTCATGAATGCTGATCTAAACGTATATCAATAGTTTTCTTTATTAAATATTATTTGAATTTAATTCCTTTGCGTATAAACTCATATTGACTTTAACGTTTATTGTTGAATAAAAGATATCATTTTGAATTTTATTTATTTTTCTTACTTTTATATCTATTACAATGGCATTCCTTTTGTTTATTTAAAATATATATTTTTAATTAGAAAACTTATATCGAATAGTACCGCCATCTAGATATATACGAAAGTTACATGGACCAATAGAAATAACATGTTGTTTTTCCATCCAGCCATCGTTTTTCCTTACCTCATACTTATACTCATTATGAATACATAAATATGAGGCGTTTTTATTGATTATATTTTTAAAACGAAAATAGAATCGATTCGCTTTATTAACCTAATTTTATCATTATTCTAGTTCTACCAATGCTTCGTAATTTTGGTCGAATTGCGACAAATGTTTGTCGTCAACATCGTATTGCTTTTGAAGTTGTTCGAACTCTTGGTATTGACAAAAAAATTTGAATTTAATTATTTTCTTATTCATTTTCATTTAGCATCAACACCACTTAACATGCCTTCTCTTTCCCCAACAATGAGCGAAGGAACAATCATTAGATGGCTTAAAAAAGAAGGTTTGATAATTAATTAATAGAATTTTACAAAATCTATCATATGTTATAGGCGAAGAAGTTAATCCTGGTGATGCTTTATGTGAAATTCAAACAGATAAAGCAACTATGACTCTCGATACTGAAGACGAAGGAATTCTTGCTAAAATTCTAGTAAATAAATTCCTAATATTTTATTATTAGAAGAAAAATATGAAAAATTTAGATGCCTGATAATTCAACTGATGTTAAAGTTGGAAAATTAATTGCACTTCTCGTTGAAAAAGGTGATGATTGGAAAAATGTTGAAGTACCAAAGACTGAAGAAAAAAGTTCAAGTTCAAAAAGTACAGAAACTAAAAAAGTCGAAACAAAAGATAAACAAGAAAAACAAGAAAAACCTAAAAGTGATAAACAACAAGCTGAACAATCTCAGTATGTATTATTATATATGAATTAAAAGAAAACGATACTTATTTATCTATTCAGTCATGCTATTGGTCCAGCTGCACGTACTCTGTTAGACCAATATGGTATTGAATCTTCAAAAATAAAAGGCACTGGACCACATGGTGTTGTTATGAAAAGGTTTTAACTTTCTTTATATTTTTCATTAATTAAAACTTTCTATTTTTAGTGACGTACAAAAATATATTGACAGTAACCAACTTAAAGTTAAATCACATAGTGAGGAAAAGAAATCTACTACTAAACAGACAACATCGGACACACCAAAAAAACAACAAATTTCAGAATCAGGAGGACGTCGATATCATGATATAGAAATCTCATCTATTCGTCGAGCTATTGCTAAACGTTTAACATATTCAAAAACAAATATACCTCATCAATATATAAGTATAACATCTAATGTTGATCAAATACTTAAATTACGTAAGCAAATGGTTAGTGATCCAAAAGCAACAGTTAAAGTATCGGTGAATGATTTTATTATTAAAGCAGTCGCATCAGCACTTCGAGTAAGTCATAACATATTTACTCGAATATATACGATGTTTTTTTTTCTATTCATTTTAGCAAGTACCACAAATGAACGGTATTTATGATGATAAACAAGGTCTTAAACTTCAATCATCAGTGGATGTAAGTGTTGCAGTTGCAACTGATAATGGTCTTATAACACCAATTGTATTTAATGCTGATCGTTTATCGGTACAAGATGTTAATGGACAAGTTCGTCAATTAGCAACAAAAGCTAAAGATGGAAAATTAAAACCGAATGAATTTCAAGGTGGTTCATTTACAATATCGAATTTAGGTATGTTTGGTATACGATCATTTTCGGCTGTTATTAATCCACCACAAATTGGTATATTGGCTATTGGTCAAAATCTTCTTAAACATACTGGTGATGATTTAAAAGCTGAAAATCAATTAACTGTTACATTATCTTATGATGCTCGTGCATGTGATCCTCAATCAAGTGCATTATTTCTTCAAGCATTTCGATCATATATGGAGAATCCTAATATGCTTCTATCGAACAACAAATCAGAATCAATTCTTAACTTTTAATAGAACTCATTTTAGTTATTTAGAATAAAGCATGAGAAAAAAAATACAGTCGAATAGATGTCCTGTTTGTTTATTTGTATTCCCTATTTTATGTAACATTTATTTTCATTAGTTTCTTCCTATTCTAGATCTAATTATCGAATATGCAATTCGATATAAGAAGGTAGTTAGAAAAATATCTATTTCAGATTTTTGTATATTACTTTTTTATTTCTTACATATAGATTCGATATTTATCGAAAAATTCCTAAAGATCTGACACAGCCAACAACTACTGGTGCTGCTATATCACTTGCTTGTATTTCATTTATTTCAACATTACTCCTTATTGAGCTTTATTATTTTATAACACCCGATGTGTAAGTTATAAAATATTCTACCAAAAACAAAACTAAATATTTATTATTTCTTGATTTTTAGTATAAGTGAATTGTTTGTTGATATACCTGAAGGTGGTGTAGCTGAAAAAATACCAGTACATATCGATATTAGTGTATCAGAAGTTAGTTGTCAATGTAAGATAGAAATTTTTATTTGTTACTAATATAGACTTTTTTATATATTTGTAGATCTTGGTATTGATATCCAAGATGATCTTGGTCGACATGAAGTTGGATTTCATGAAAATACAATGAAAATACCAGAAAATAATGGTGCTGGTTGTCGTATAAATGCTACATTTAAAATTACTCGTGTACCTGGTAATTTTCATGTTTCAACACATTCCGCAGCAATGCAACCTCAAAATATTGATATGAAGCATGTGATACATGATTTAGCATTTGGTGATACAATTAAAGTATTTGGTTTTTTTTTAATATTCTAATTTAAAATAAGATTTTATTTCATTGAAAGGGTTTTCGACAAATTCCAAATCGAAGAGCATTCCGTCCATTAAAACGTTTTAATAATACAAATAATAATAATCGTGTGTCACACGATTATTTAATGAAAATTGTACCAACAATTTATGAAAATCTCAGTGGAAATCGTCGATATCCATTTCAATTTACATTTTTCTATCGGGTTAGTAAAAGATTTGTACTCAGTACTTTACAAAGGATGTAACCGCTAAAATTTAACCAATATGTAACAAACAATATAAAGTGGTAGAGTATTTAAAGAACAAAAACTAAAAATCTATAATGTAAGACAAATAATTATTTATGTTATTTCCTTTGATTTCAATAAAAAAATTGTTTGTGTACAATGTACTTCCGTATATTTATTTTCGATTTTCTTCGAGTACTTAAAAGTATTTGAGTAAAATCAAATCGTAGACTGAATACATTCTAAAAAAATTCTATTCAAAGATCTAATTATAATCAGAATTAGAATAAAATTATCATCGATGCATAAATAATTGCTATCTTCTTTCGACGGTATTTTGAAAAGAGGTTCTTTTTTATTCTTAGCTTTCAACGATGTTCATTAAGAATTAAAAAAATCTAGTCAAGCTAAATAATTACTTTATCCAGACATAGATTTTATATAAATTCCGCAGTTACATAATCATAAATTTTATTTTTAAAATAAAATTTCTAGTAATCTAATCTCTATCTATATTAAAATATCAGATAGTTGTAATGCGAAGATTTCTTTTTTTAACTTAACATGTAACATAATATTCTTTAATAAACATCGCCTACATGATACTTATTTTATTTAAAGGGATTTGCACCAAATCAGCCTGGCGCTCCACCGGCAATATGGTTTCGTTATGATATTATGGTAAAAATAATAAGCATAGGCTTTTATTCAATTAAAATTTTTTCTTTTCTTTTCTGTTGTTTAGCCAATAACTGTTAAATATACAGAACGTCGACAAAAATTTTATACATTTATAACATCAATATGTGCTATTGTTGGTGGTTCATTTACAGTAGCAAGTATTCTTGATTCGCTTATATTTACAGCAAGTGAATTATTTAAAAAATTTGAACTTGGTAAAATGACATGAATCTCCTTCAATTAATTTCAAAAACAATTAACTTGCCGACTAACATTGCATTCATTTTTCTTTTTTTAGAGTCTCTTTTTTTTTCATCGTTAACATGTATTGTTTTTAGAATAACTAATATTTTTATTTAAGAATCTCATAATAAAGTGATAATATTTTAAAAAATAATTTCTATTGCGTGTATAGATAATAAATATATATGTCAAAGATAATGAAATTCCCATTGAAATTTTCAAAAGGTATATAGACAACAGATTTTTATGTAATGGTTAACAATGAATGTTATTAATAAAATGATCGTGTATAATATTTAATGAAAAGAAATGCAAATCTATTGACATTGACATATTGAGTGTACATGATTAACTTTCTGTCAAATATGACTATCTATTTTACTCATGAGGAAACAAAAGAAGAAGAAGATTGTTGATGTCTCATCCAATTTATCAATGGTTCCGATCACACTAGTAGTTTTCTTTGACATAATGCTACTTGTACTCATTTGTTGTTTTCTTCTCAAGAGAATTTATTCTGTATTTTGTTAGTCAACATTAACACATAATTATAATTACATCGCATTTTGACTTTTGTCTGTCAAGAAAATAATGTAAGTCATATTTGTTCTTTTGTTTTTGCTTAACTGTTTAGTTAGAACTTTTTTTTGTCAATGGATTTTGCGGATGATTGATTCGTAACAAGATTTTTCTTTATTATCTAAGTGTATGCTCTTTTCAATGATGAGATAAGTTATATATCAATGACAAGAATCAATCATCGTTTTGAATATGAATGCCTACACAAGAATTAATATAGCGAACATCCTATGAATAAGTAGTAACAGGAAACGATGAATGTAAGACAGTATGTTTACTGTTATAAAATAAAAGGCAAGAGATTGAAGCAATGTATTAAAAATATATTCAGTAATAAAATAAAATATGACACTTATAACTGCCTTCGTTCGAATAAATATACTCATATTCTATCATATGTCATCATTCTACATGTCTGAAAGGCAAAACGAAGGAAATTTGAGTAGAAAAGCTCTTTAATATTATCACTTGTTCTTAGTATACTTGAAAGATTGAAGAATAAATGATTATGTATCAATTCACATGTTGACACCTGTTGAATACTTATTCAAACATGAAATATATATACTAAACAACAATCTATTAAATTATATTCATGAATAGTATTGTATTACGAGATTATTTTTCGTGTTGTTGATTTTAAAAAAATAAGACATTTTTTGACAAATATAATAACTTTGTCTACGGATTAAAAAGAAAAAGACATTTTAAAAAAAATATATCAGTAAGAAGTAACAACTAATTAAAGTTAAGATTTGTTGTGTGTCTGTCAGTTTGAACTCTAGTCATCATTATTAACATAGACATTATCATCATTATTTCTTCCTTTAGTTACTTTTTTTTTCCTGTTTGTCTCCTCTTCTTCATTTTTCTTTTCTTGTTGTCATTTTGTTTTTGCTTACTTAAATCAGCGTTGTAGTTTTGTTAGCAAGTGAGACAAAGAGAAGAAAAAAAAGAATAAGAAAGGAAAACGCAATTTCTAGATTGACTATAGGCAGAATCAGTAGTCAAACGTGATTTATGTATTCAGTTATTTGACGATGCATATCTGTAACTGACTTCATACAAGTAAGTTCTCTTAAACAGATAAAAAAAAAGTGTAAAACTCCCCCGAAATATTTTATAAGGTAAGATAGTGAAGTGATATACTTGTCAAAAATATTTTTTAATTAATTCAAGCTGATGTATTTAACTGTTTTGTGTATATTTTACGTCATGCTGACTAGACGCCTATAGGAAGGCTCAGTGTTAATAAACTAGATTTGATGTATTACATACTTAGATGAAGGTTTTTTTCACTCAATATATCATATTCTTTTCTTTTATCATATAGATAGAACATGCTTTTTTAATAATATAATAGATAAAAAATTAATTACTACCTTCCATAAAATTTCTTTCAAATTATTTGTCTCGCAAAAGAATGACTTCCCTTTGTTTTGTTTTTTTTCCATAACCATGAGTGCAAATATTTTAAAATTAGAAAATGGAATAAATTATCTTGATAATAAGAGAAATTCATGGTCAACTATTTCTATAGAATTCAAAAAACGTTGTAATCAAAAGATATCATAGTAATAATAATATCTTTCCTAAAAAGCATTAATATAGACAATACTTTTATATATTTTACAATTCTTTTGTATATGAATAAATGCGTAGATATATATCATGTACTATTCTATTTCACTAGGAATAAAAGTCTTCTTTTTTATTACGTCATTTAAATATTAATAGACTTCATTCTTTATTTCCTAAAGAAATCGATGTAGGAAATTGTAATAGATATCTTTTTTTTTTATTTAATTTTCTGTGTCATCATGGATCCTCTCTCTCTCTCCTCTTTGAATACGTTCTTAATTTAACTTTTTTTTGTCTGTCACTTTTTATTTAGAAGTAATCTTCTTCGTAATCTATCTCACTGTCCCTTTTTTTTACATTTGATTTTTATGATAAAAACAAGGAAACACAGAGAAACGGATATCCGGAAATTTTCTCTTGTGTGTTTTTCACATTAGGTAAGATACATAAACTGAATCCTATTGTTACTTTACTATGTACCAAACATTAGAAAAAGTTAAGCAGTATTTAAATGTATGTGTGTGTTTTTTTTTGAGGTCAGAAGACATGTTTTCCTTCATTTATATGTTTTCCACATATACAATATAATTAAATAGAGTTTTTCGAGCTTATTGATTGATTTGCATATGAGAGAGAAACTAGACCAAAGTTCGTTAATATATGATATCAAGTAATTTATATTTTTTTTTGATAGAAAGTTTTATTTCATGTACTTATTGTGATCTGCATTTTAGATTATCTAAAATTAATTTCTTGTTTATTATTATTATTTTTGTTTTGTTAAATAAAATATGATCAAATAAGCATAATCACAATAATGTTCGACAATTTAACAAATAATAATGACGATACATATCCAATAGAACGTTCACCAGGATTTGTTGATCTACGATTTTTTCTCGTTCGAATATTTTATCCATGTTTACTTATATGGGGTACTATTGGTAATGCATTATGTTTACGTGTTTTATTAAGTAAAAAATTTTTTAAAAATTCCACATGCCAATATTTAGCTATACTTGCTGTTATTGATATTCTATTTATATTTATGCGTTCAAGTAAACATGTTTACAAATTATTTCGTAGTCAACCTATATTTAATACATCACAATTAGTATGTCGTATATTAACATTTTCTTCATCAGCACTTGCACATATGGGATCATGGATATTGGTCATTGTTAGTTTTGATCGATATTTAATAGTAACAAGTCGTTATAGACGACATAGTTCATCTGCTCATCGAGTATTTTGTTCAACAAGTATACTTATTGCTATTGTTACTTTATGCAATCTTTATTATTTCTTTATACTAGGTAAGAAATATTTTTTTAAAAAAAGTAATTTAATAAATGAAGATTTTCTTATTACTTAAGATGAATTAGTTTTATTAAACATCTAAAAGTCTATTTACTATATGAATATATATATATAAAAATAGAGTCGTATTAACAATGGAAATATCAGTTCTTATTTGATTCTATTTTTAGTAAATAGAGGAAAAAAGGCACGAAATGAAAGTCGGATTTTATCATTTATAATAGAAAGAAATGGAAATAAACTATTTCCGTTAAGGAAGTAACTGTCCATACATGAAATTTTTCATTTAACTTACGGAATCTACGTTAAATATAATGATTTTGATTTTGAGAGTGCATTTAGATTAGAACTACTATTTGAATTGAATAGAAATCTTGTGAGATTTTAATCTTTAAACACTTTTCATTAATATAACTAAAAAATGTCATAAAACTAAGCCTTATAACCTTCCTATAATATTTAAGTGATAAAAGACAGTATTTGACATTTGTCTTAATAAATTACAGATCTCTATTGAAAAAAAAACGAATTTTATATTCATAGATTCTTATAAAATTCTATTGTGATTTAATCAATATTAAATAGCAAGAGAGAATAATATTCCCATAGCGATTTTTATTAATCAATCTTTTATGAACTTTAAATCTAACTATATCATATTCTTTTATTTAATAAGGTCGAATAATGACACCTGAAATTCCTCATGGTCTATATAATCAAAAGCATGATTTAGTCAATGATACAACATTTCTAAATAATACTCTATCGGAAGATATCGAATATGAAAATGAAACTGAACATAAAATTGAACCGGAAATGATTTCAGTATTTATGTGTATACCAACTTCGGCATTTGAACAGTTTTTTCGTCGAGTTATTCCCGTATTTGATATATTACTTGTTGCCGTTATACCATTTTTTCTTCTTTGTTTTACTAATATTGGTATTATAACATATACAATGCGTGCAAATCAACGTATGCGTCAACATCGTAAACGTGCACATCGTCGTCATCAACGTTTAACAATAATGCTTTTATCTGTTACTTTAGCATTTATTGGTTTAACATGTCCATCAGTTATATTTATATGTGTAAATAAAATTATTTATTCAGCAGACTTACCAGGTGGTTTAGGATCTAATAGTCAAGTCGGAGTACGTAGTAATGGTCCATCATCAAATGGCCAATTAATTGTTGATATATGTGAAGCATTATGGTATACAAAACATGCAATGAATTTTATATTATATACATTAAGTGGACAAGATTTTCGTCGAGAATTTATTAAACTGTTTCCTTCATGTTTTCATAATCGTCCATCTATATTAAAAAAACTAGTTAATCGTACTCAAACATCAACTGATCATACAATCGATTCATCATCAATCGAAATGCCAATCGTAACAAGTACAATTAGAAAAAAATCTAAGAAACAGAATAATAATAATAAAGGTGATAGATCAACTATGTCGTTTAGTTCAAAAACAACAACTACAACAACAACAACAGTAACCATTCTACCGACTTGAATATATAAATATGTTTAATAGTTTTTTAGTCATCGTTTTTTTGTTTTTCTAGATTAAAAAATAATAATGAAGAAGTACGATTTCTTTTATTCATTAATATCCTGAGATCTGAAAACGCATTTTACAAACTAAAAGAAAAAGACGGATATCACAGTGTTTAAAAAGAAATGAATGAAACTAAAATTAAATAATGATGAACATAAAAAGAAGCATAATCATTCTCAGTTTAAAAAAAAAGAAATATTTGAAAGACCGATTAAATAAATAAGAAAGCAAAAAAGAGAGCGAGCGAGAGAGAGAGAGAAAGAAAGAGAAAACGAAAGAGACTTTCAAACATCGAGTTTATTTTTTTGTCTTATTTCTTCTTGTTTTTCATTTGTTTCAACTTCACGATCAGTTGGAACACATACAATACAAAAATGAAAGAATGAAGCAATTACAATCATTGCACCGCCAATAGCAAATGCTAAATCATATTTTCTAGTATAATCTTTGAGAAAACCTATAATACACAAAAAGAACAAAAGCAAATAAGAAAATGTTATTTAAAAAATATTCAATGAATACAAACCGGCAGCAGGTGGACCAATAATTGATGTTACACCACGAAATAGAAAGAGAACACCAAAGGCTGTTGTAAATCGATCGAGACCAACAGAATCACATATTATATTCGGCATTAAAGACATATGAGGTGCTAAAAATAATTTGAACTTATCAGTTCTATTATTGTGTTTATTAAAAATAGTTTTTACCAATAGCAAAACCCATCAAACCAGCATAGAGTGCACAAGTTGTAAAATTATATGCATAAGCTGCTAAAACAGTTAAGATACCGGCTGTAAATAAAAGTGCGTTATGAACACGTAATGCACTTAAATGTGGTAGCATAGCAATAGGTCCTCCAGCAAATCGACCGATTGTATTACAAAAACCTAAAATAAATATTAATTCTTCAAAATTAAATTTCTTTTTTTCCACATTACCAAAAATTGTTAATAAAAATGATGCAGTTGTTTGATTAACACCCATATCTTCAGTTGCAAATGAAATAAGACACATAATTGGTAGATAATAGCCTAACATTGAAAATATATTTCCAATACAAATTAATAACATTTGTTTATTTTTTAATATTGAAAGATCTGTCATTGCTCCAAGTATATTAGCAAAGGCTTGTACTGCGGATTCTTTCTTTTTTTCTTCGGTAGTAGCCGCTGGAATATTTGTTACAGATGACATATATGGGTTAGTTTTATTTAATGATGTATGTGACATATGAAGTTGTTGTTTTGATCCCATAAATAGAGCATCTTTTTTATAAAGTGGTCGTGATGCATCTTCAGGATTTGAAACACCAACTCGATTACCATTACTATCAACTGATGTATGACTTGATATTGATGTTGTACGATTACGTTGAGATTGATCAAGTGGACTTGATATCATACCTACTGTTGTAACAGCAGGAATTTCACTAGATCCATTATTACTACCAGGTACTGTGGCAGGATTACTAATACGTGCTGATTCATCACCTGGTGGCAGCAATGGCTTAGAGAAGAAATAATCATTCTACTATCATTTTTCACTAGAAATTTTAATATTTACCACATTTGTTTCACCTGCTTTTTCCCGATAAACAGCAGATGATGGTGTATGTTGACCTTTTTTGTATTGCGAATTAACAGAAGTTCTATAGAAACAAATAAAAATAAATCGTCTTTCTTTCAAAGAAATTATTTAAGAATTTACTCTAATTCAATATCTTTTTTAATAGGTACTCTTGTAGGTTGTAATGGTTTCATTATAGCTCCAAATAAGATACATGTTAACATGATACCAGCAAAGATAAGCATACCAGTCTTCCAACCAAGTTTTCCCATTAAAAAGTCAGCTAATGGACCAAATGATAAAGCACCAATACCTGTACCAGCTGTTACTATACCTAAAAACAAACAATATATAATTACAAAAAAAGATTTCCTTGTTAAAAATAATTTTACCATTAGCAATAGGTCGTTTTTTGTCAAAATAAAATGATACCATTACAACGGATCTAAAAGCACATAAGTCAACAATCAATTCTATTGTTTTTATAGAAGACTATTTTACATACGGAAGATAAACCATACCAAAAAATATACCACCAAATACACCATAAATAATCATCATTGCCCAAACATTTGGTGAAAGAGTAGATAATACCATACAGGCTGATGCACCAATACTGCCAATAATAATTATTGGGCGACAACCATATCTATTCGCTAGACCTGATACGATTGGACCTTAGAAAAATAAAATCATAAGTTTTTAGATATTTGCTATTAATATATTATAAATTACACTTACCCACTAATAAATAAACACCACAAGGTACAGAGCCAACCATTAAAATCAGCATATCGGAACATTGAAAGTGTTTTTGAAGATGCAGTTTCATTGTACCAAACGCAAATAGAGTACCATCACAAACAAGATTACATAACTAAATAAAAAAATTAATCATTTTTATAATATAATTAAATAAATACCATAGCGGCGATAGCAACAACCCAACCAAATCCTCCATCAGGTGGTATTGTAACATATTCGTATTCTTCATGAATAGGTTGTTTATCAATACTTTTTAATTTAACTTGTTCTTCTTCTAAGTGTTTCTTTTTTGATATTTGTTTCGCTGCCATATTTTAAATGTAGTCGTAATGTCTCTCACAAGAAATTGACAAAATAATATTTGTCCTTAGTATGTATTCGCACCTAGAAAACAAAACAAAGCAAAAACAACAACAGAAAAATAGTACACATCGATTGTTATCATAAAAAAAAGACAACAAAATCATTCAACCATTTAACCACAAATAATAGTGGTTAAACAAGTTGTGTATCTAAAGAATATCAAAAGAATAGTAGTTTGATTAAACGAATAGTTTTTTGCATGATTATTGATGCGTAACGTATCTTATTCAATTAAAAGAAGAAGGTACAGAAAAATGGATATCGAAGGACATCAGAGGAAGTATAACTGTACCTTCCTTCATATGTTCTATACTCTTACGCAATATGAGCATGGATTCTTTTACAGATATGATGAAATGAAAAAAAGAAGGTAGATAAGCAGTGTCGTATATCAGATAATATTAAAAGTATATGAGTTGAAGGGACAAAGATCATTTACAATATTATTTCTCTTTTCTTTGTTATATTTTTGTTACAAAACCACACTGATGTAACTATTTGAAGATAAAAAGAAAAAGAGAGAAAAAAACGCCACAGATGGAAGCATTGTCTATTATTTGAAAAATTTTAAATTGTCTTCTTATTAGGACAATAATGTTTCAAATGAAAGAAGTAACATCTGTCAATAATATTTCTAAAAATAAATTGTAGAAAAATAAGAAACTATAATTTTCTATTTCGAAATAGTACATAAGTAATAGATGACTTATTAAATAGAAAAAGAATTATCTAATTTATGATGTATAATATTTGTATTTATCTATTAATATTAATGTCTAACGTCAATATTTTACTCTCACTTCTTCTTGCATACATCTCTCTACATTTTTTCTTCGTTACTAAAAAAAGAAAAAAAAGAAAAAAGAAAAGAAAGTGTTTCGCTTATATATATGCATCGTCATCAAATACTTGTTCTTTGTCAATTAAATGGTAAGTACAATGAATACCTTTAAATCAAGGTTGTTAAATTCATACTTACACACTGAACAATATATTATCGAGACGAACAGTGTGTCAATACAACGAGAAAACGAATAACTAGTCATACAATAAAATGACCAGTATAGTAATACATAAGAGAAAGTTCTATGTCATCGGTAAGTAAATAGGCTGCCTATTTCGTTCGTATAAATTCTTTTTTTAATTTTCTACCCAATAGATAGACCTTCAGTTCGTAACAGTACGTATTCCCGGGATATAGCCGTTAGAGAGAGAGAGAGAGAGACGGTGAGGGAGAGCACAATCTAGACGAAGAAATTCATAACATATATATATATGTGTAATACATGACGGAGCAAAAAATCTTTTTCTTTCCTTCATTCTAGTACGAGTTGACTGAACATAAAATAGCTCTAAAAGAAAAAAAAATGCTTATATAACATAGAACTAAAAGAAGAAGAAGATGATGATGATGATGTAATCAAATATTAGAGCAAGGTCATGGTCATAATCTAGTAAGCATTGGATAAGATTGTGAAAATAAGTTTTTTTTCCTCGACTTTCGTAAAATATTACTATATCAAATTTCTTCTATGAATAAATCCTACGTAATAAACTCTAATCCTAAAAAAAGTAAAATAAGTGTATAAAAAGATGACCTTGTTTAATCTATCAAATAAATACTTTGATTTCAACATTTTTTTTTGCCATTTATGTATTTCTTTCTACCATAAATAACACTCTTCACCATTTAGCACTTCATATATATATAAAATTATTTGATAAATTCTTCGAGGTAAAGAAAAAGAAATAATATAAGACTGAAAAATAAAAAAAGCACTTGTGAAATATATGTAAAAAAAAAAAGAAACATCAATTGAATTCATAATAATCAACGGCCTTTAAAACTTATATATATATTAATACAAAAAAAACATGTTCTTCATTACTCGAAAATTACAATAATATCGTATTACTATTCTGTTAATATTAAATATAAACTATCGAAAAATGTCATAATAAATTGTCTAAATTATTTCAAATAAATATTAAATATTCAATCTAAATCTTTTTTTTCTTTTAATCTGATCTTCTATTGATACAGAAATTCAATATTTCTTTACTAAAGATACAAATATATATATGTATTTTAAAATCTTTATCTTATCAATGAATTAAGGTAAGCAGATACTAAAATAACATACATTTATTGTCTGTTGATGATCAATGATTTATAGTCTACAGTTAAAATTTTTTTATTTCGATGAAATAAAAACTGTACTTCCTATAATAAATTACAATACTATTTAAGTCAAAGTTTTTCTTTTATTAAAAAGAAAAACATCGCTCTAATTTTTTTATTGAGTAAGTCAAAAAGAAAGAGACACAAAAGCCCTCTAGCGGAATAATATATATTTAAATCAAAGCCAGATAAATTATTTTGATTAAAACTTCAGTTGCTTTTCTTCTTCTTCTTTTTTCTTGATATTGAAAAACAGAAAAAGGTCGTTTATATGACTATTGATTCAGCTCTTACAAATGAAATGAATGACACATATTAGTGTTTTTATTGTTAAATATTTTATGTAAGTATACATTTTAAAATTCTACTTTGATCGTCATTGGCTAGTTTAATTAAAACAAAGAGAGAGAAAAAAAGAGAGGAGAAAATTTGTGCACTGCACTTGCAAAAAACAAAAAAAAAGAAGTATTTTTTTTTATGAAAATAAAAGATCGTCCATAGCGTCTTCTTCTATATCAGCTTTAAGTTTCTCAGCCAATTTGCTTTTTTGCGTTGTATTGTCCGTAGGAGTTTTTGTTGATGATTGAATATTAAAATAGCGAGTTATAAAAATAGTAAATGATGTTTCTTCAGGCATTGTCGTCGTAATATCTTGAACTACAGTAAAAGAAAAGGAAAGTATTATAAAACTAAAGCTAAAAAGAAAAAGTTATTATTACTTAATGGCGAAGTACTGTCAAAAATACTCGTCTGTGGATTATTGGATGACGTCAAAGTATATTCCTGACTTTTCATTGTCGTTATTATTCCATCTGCATCTGATGTCATTGTAGCTGTAGAATGATGACTACTAGGTACATATATTATTTCTTCATTAGATACTGTTGTTTGAATAGTAGTGAAAATTGTAGATTGTTCATTAGCTATTGTACTCAATGATGGATAAGATTTCATCGATTGTGTAGTGAGAGGAATATGTTCAGTTCGTTGTTTTGTTCTCATTATTGATGATGATATATGAATATTTTGAGTTGTTAACGTGTGTAAATTATTACTTGTCAAATTGACAGTTGTCTTTTGCCAATTTTCATTTTCTACTTGTTCATTGGCTATTGTAGTTAGATCTATATTGATAGAGATGATAATTATTGAAAAGAGAGAAAAAGGAGAGAAGAAAAAAAACATAATTATATACTAACTCTCATGATTTATAAAAAGAGATGGAGTATTGTTTAATGTTTCGAACATATTTGTTTCAGCTGATCGTGTTACAATCGCCATTAAAGAATTGCGAGAATCTAAAAATTAACAATACTTTTTGTAAAATATATATATATATATATTTCTTATATAAATAACACTCTATTATTTTATTTCTATTCAAATTTTAATCTTCTTCTGTTATAAACTTTTGATTATGAAATAGTTTATGATCTTGACTATAAAAATATATCTTGAACTTAAGTGTCAACTACAGAATGAAAATAAATAGTCTGAAGTTTTTACTGACATTTAATTATTATTTTTATCAAATGATAAATAAAAAAACAAAGAACTTACGTGCAAGAGCAACTGTTAATATAATAATACCAATAGCAATCAATCCAAGAATGATCATAATAATAACAGCTTTACATGCTCGTGATAATCGTTCTTCGCGTGGTTTCTTAAAGTAAATCGTATATATATGTATCTTCTCTTTTTTTGAATTTAATAAGAAATAGATTTTTTTTTCGTTACCTTTGCTAATACTACATGATTTGTTGCTATAATATCATGTAGAGCTGGATTGCTTAGTTCAGCTTGATTAGTTTCATTATCTTTTTCAATACGAGTTATTGATTTTTTATACATTTAAATAAGTAAATAGAAATAAACGTATATGTATATATATATATAAATTTGAATTCAGTAGTAAAGAAGAACAATCGTTGATGAACAGATTTGTGAGTTTGAAAAGAAACGAAATATGGTTGAGTATGAACGTGCGACGATATCCTATGTGTGTGTATATGTATATACACCATCGAATGCTAGGTAACCACATGTACAAAGAAGAAAAAAAAGAGAGAAAGAGACAGAAAGGACGTTTATGTAAGTTCTCTCTTTTCGTTATTCCATGGGACACATATGTATGCATAATTGTTAGTCACTCGATTGTTCAATCAGTTCTGTCAGTCCCATCAGTTCATATATATATATATACATATATAGCTTACTGTAAGCGGAATAAAAAATGAATTGAGTTAAGTGAAGTATATAGCATCGCGATGAAGTCAAGATAACTGTATGAGTCCATTTGTTTGGTTATCGAGAATAACGGACGACAGAGCGATTTGTCTTCTGTACACACATTGGGGTGTATATGTGAATTCACCTGTATTCTTCTTATGGAAGACACATATGTATATATCACACCGTATTTAGGTGGAGACATAAAAGAAAGTGCAATGAACAATTTTACAATGAAGACGTATAATCATATGAAGAGCAATATGACCATTATGCCATTGTGCAATAAAAAATAGACATCATTATCAAAAATATAAAATTTCAAAAAATGAAATATGAAGAAGTAACAATTCAAAATTAATCATTATTGAACAATTTACTTTTTTGTCGTATTAAAATCTTTTATGCAAATTTATAGCGATTAATTTATCTTCTTCTTCTTCTTCTTTTTTCTTTCTCTCTATTCTCTCCTTCACTCTTTTTCATACTTGTCTGCAATGAAACAGAATAGAGACAATATTCTTTGATCCTTTTTGAGTAGATATACTCATCATTTATTTATGCATTCTAAACTCGGATGAACACTCATAAACATGTGAAATATGAATCGTCATGCAGAGAACATTTACTATGCATATATCTATTAATCGAGCAAAAAACTATTTTTAATAGCTTCAAACAAATTATGTGTCGATTTCATGAATATTACAATATAAGAAGAGAAATTGTCCTACGAATTAATATCATATATATCATTCTTCTAGTTTTAAATATTGATTAAATGTATATCTCACAATTAGTTTATTTCACTATATGATATATACATAGATAACAAAAATATCATGTATTTTATTTTATAAGTAATGAATTTTCAATGTTGTTGTCTTTTTTTCCTATAACGAACTATATAGCAGTTATTCTTTACATTTTTTCTTCTTTGTTCGATACATTACATGTGTGAGTGGGACCCAACGTACTATAACATGACAGAATCAATGAGGCGAATTCGTGCTTTTTACTCACATTTTTAATAGTAGACTTTTTCCTCTTGCACTAGTTAGATGATGGATATAGCCTCAGTATATAGATGAAGACTATAAATCTCTTTTTTTTTGCTGTTTGTCTACATAGCTTTTTAATATTAATTAATGAAAAAAAAACTTTTCTTTTTTTCTAGTTCATCCTTGAATGGATATAATAATAATAATAATAATAAGTAGAAGTAGTAGATGATAACAATGACTCTATTCTTATATGCAAAACTAGTAATGTGTTCAATTGAGTAACTTACGAGATTGTCAAAAGCTTTTCTTAGAATAGTTTTCTCTTTATCTCTTTTTTTGTTACGGATAAATATCAAAGAAAAGAACAACAATATACATTCAACAAGTAGAAGAAAAAGGAAGAAGATTTTCCCTTCCTTCTTTTATTCTCTCTAGATTTTCTTGTAAATATTTTCATTATTATGATGATTATATGATGATGGAGGGAAAGGGAATTCCTGTTACTATTCTTTCACATGGCTAGTTTGATATTGTTAAGAAAACCAAAGAATCTATATATTTATATACACATACAAAGATCTCTTTAAAAAAAGAACATTCTCTTTGTTTGCATGTCTCATTTATCTATAAATTTATGTAGGATTTAAGCTTATTTTAACCTAGAAAAAAATGACAATATTACGATCTTTTTTCAGGATATTCTTTATATGTATATAAAATCTGACAGGTAGTCGTTAGTTCTACTATCAAGGATGTCAATCGGCATAGTGTAGTGTATCTGTTTTCTTTTGCTTACGGGTATATTTTTATGTATGGCTGGATGTTAGTTGAAGAGAAAAAAAGAATATGAATATTGAAAACTATGGTTCATTGTTGTCTCTATGACGGATGATGATGTTAATAGTCTCTCGATCTTTTTCTCTCTTTTCTTTTTCTATTTTCTTTTACTTTTTATTCACAATAACATCAATAGTAAAGAATATATAGACATCATTACTAGTAAGAGGAACTTTAGAGATGATCATTAAAAGATGCGCGCTTTTATTCACATTCACATCCCAAACAGTTTTAAGAGTTGACTGAGTTGCACGACTACATAATACATCATTAACTGATTCAAAGAAGGAAAAACATTAAAGAATACCCACATACTATTAGTTTTTTTTACGTTTGATTTTATTCATTTTTTCAGTTAGTTTCAATTTATAATAAATAATAAGCGCAATGCTAATATGCTCACTACACGTTATGATTTATTTATTGGTATTGGTATTGGTGCTGTATCTGTTATTATTATAATTCTTATCGTAACAATTATATTTTGTAAATGTTGCGTACCATCATCAAGTCATCGTTATTTTAGTCGATCTACAAGACAATACGCAGCTATTAATAATATTGATGCTAAAACATATTTTAAGCCTCCACAACGTCTGGTGAGTAACAATTCCTTTTTTTTTTAATATTTAAAAAGTCATGCCATACATTATTTCCGGTATTAATTGAAACGTAATCAAACTAATGAAATTTGCATATGCAGTTCGAAAAAGTTCCTAAAATTAAATTTTTAATTTCCTTTATATGACAGCCAAACAAAAAACGTTAATCTCTACTAGTTAATTATAATATTATTCTTTAGATATATGCACCTATTGTTCATCGTATTCCACAACCACCAGTTATAACACAAGATGCTTCTTCAATACAATCAGCTCGTACATCAGTTGCATCTGGTGGTCGTTTATCAATTTTATCCGAAAAATTCTCTCGTTTATCAATTAGTTCAATTCAATCAGGTCGTCCATCCGTAGCATCAGATAGTGTTTTACTACATAAAAAAGGTGAAAGTGGTCGTTTATCTCATTCTTATGATGATACAGATACACAAGCAATTACAGCACATTATTCAGGTCGAAGAAGTTCAAAAGCACCACGTTTATCTGCAGCTGGTGTTATTGATCCACAACTCGTTGGACTTAGTTCAGTAACAAATTTAAAAAATATTCGATTTGAATTATTTCCACGTACATCAGATGTTGTTGAACAATCTATTTCATGTGTTGAACAACAACAACAACAACAACCATCCACAAGTTCAGTAATAACAACATCTGAATATGTAGAAGAACCAAGTACATTTACATTATTAAAACGACAATTATCCAAAGCTGATTCAGTCAAATCTTCAAATACAAATCAACGTCAATCATTACTTCGATCCCCATCAACGAAATATGCAATACCGAAATTTCCTGTTATTGGAAAACAAACAAGTAATATAAATCGAGCTTCCATGCCACCATTAGATCAAGGTTTTCTTTCACCACCTATTTCACGTCAAACAAATTCTCATCTTAATAAAGATAAAACTTTACGTGGCGCATTAGGTGCAATTATGCCTGATCTCTACTTTATCGACACGACATGTGCTGGAAATAGCTCTAGTAATGGTACTAGTGGAACTAATTTTAATGAACGAATAAACGATGATTTATCAACTGTAGAAGAAAATTTACATCGTTTACATATTCGAATTCAATATGATGATCATAGAAATGATCTTCTTGTGAATATAATTGAAGGTAAATATATCTTTGTATATAAAATTTTGTAGTTATTATTATTTGTATTTTGTCTAGCTCAATGTTTACCATCAGAATCTGAAGAATTAGTTAATCCGTATGTAAAAATTTATCTTCGTCCACCAGTTGATCAAAAATTACGTCAAACATCAGTACAACCACAGACAATAAATCCAATTTGGAATGAATATTTTAAATTTGGTGTTGCTAATGAAACAGTATTTAAAACAACAAAAACTTTATATTTTTATATTTATAATTATGCACATTCAAGTCGACCAGAATGTATTGGTGAAGCACAAATACGTTTAACACCACAAACAATGCATGGTTGTGACCTTTGGTGTCCTATTAATAAACAACGAGAGGTAAGAAAAATCATTTTTTTTCTTCTTCTTTGCTTTAAAATATCAAATGAAAGTTAATTATGAAAATAGATATAAAATTCGTGTTTGTATTTTTAAAGGAAATGTTATTTTCTTATATCATTCAGGCTTCTATCCTTTTCTTTTTTTTTTCGAAGGAAGATGAATATCTTGGTGAATTACTCGTTTCATTAACATATTTGGCTCAGGCTGAACGACTTAATGTTGGAATTATTGAAGCACGAAATCTCAAAGCACTTTCAATGCACATTGAAGCAGGTCGGATATTGGATTTTCTTTTCTTCTTCTTCTTCATAAGCAATAAGAGCTCATTCTCTTCTGTTACTATTTTAGATCCAGTCGTTCGTTTAACATTACAATTAGGTCAAACCGACAAAATAAAAAGAAAAAAAACAAGCGTTAAACGTAATACATTAAATCCTACATGGAATGAAGAAATTTCATTTAATATACCGGGTGTTTCATTAGATGATTCATGTCTTGAAATAGGTGTTTATCATCATGATCTTATTGCGCCTGATGAACCATTAGGATTTTTACGTTTTGAAAATACGACACCAATTGGTAATGCTAATATTGCACAACATAGTGAAATTATTCATTGGTGTGAAGTTATAAATGGTGGACAACGAGCTGCTTGTTGGCATTTATTACGAAAAGCTGCAAGAGTTGTACCAGTAACAACATCATTATCAAATAATAATAAAAATACACAACAATCTAGAAATTCTACAAATTTTGCTAAATAATCTGTCTCGTTTGTTTGAAATAAAAATCTTCAATCTAAATTTTTGTTTTGCTTTTTTTTTTGTTAATTGTCATATGTAGAATAAATCATAAATAGTGCCACATAAAATGAATTTTCTTTTTTATGTTGTATGTATGTATTTCTATTATTATTTTTTTGATGTAAATTAAAATCTACAGAATATTTTTTTCCGAAAAAAAAAATAATGATTGTATTATCAATGTTGACTTCGAATTATTGATTGATCAATCGAAACAAAAATGTATAGAAAATAGTTTAGATTTTCTTTCAATTAGAAGTCATCATATATAATCTTAATAGAATTCTATCACTAATTTCTCTTTAAAGAATAATATGTTTTTATTTCATAAAAAACGATAAATACTATTTTTGTTTTCTTGAAATATATTTGGTAATACAAATGCAGATGTAGAATAAATTCACAAAAGAAACATCTTTTTTTCTCAATAAAAAAATTATTAATCTAATAATTTATTATCTAAGTTGTTTTTTTGACCTAATATGTTTTTTCTATAAATATTAACAAAATTATGCAATCGATATTATGAGTAGTTCTACTATAAATATATACAGTAAAGCTTCTCTATTGTGAACACCATTGGGACCGGTGAAAATGTTCGCTACACGGAAGTGTTCACTATAGGAAGTCGTAGTATATTTTTCTGGGAGATAAAGCTAAAACTACAAAAATCTATTTTCACATAGGTTCTAGGTGAACATTTACTTATTTTTTCACTTATTCGTATATTTTATCCAAATAGTTTGTAGGGTCATTGTGGATGTGGATGCCGGTAAGAGAAGAACACAATAAACACACACCCACACCTTCTGTTTAACAGTTTGATTTTGATTTGTTTCATAAACATTTAAATATTCCGTTTTGCGTTTTGAAATATCGTATTCCTCACATCAATTTACGTTGTGAGAATCCCGTTATCATCACTATTATTATAAATAAAGTGTATTTCTTCCACAGTGAGCTCATAACGTGATGTCATTCTTTATTTGATATAAACAGTAGTCGAATCCATTAAAAAAATGCACTTAATCGCAGTACATAAGATATAGTTTTGGAAAAAATAAGGAGGTTAAAAAAACATGTTTATATTAGGGAGATTATAGAATAGCAAACGGATCATAAAATAGTCTTTACTGTTCAAAGTAAGCCGATGTTCATATACGAGAGGTGTATTTCTAGCAAATATTGCATCGTTGAATCTGAGACCGTTTTTAATAAAGAGGTGTTCACTATGGAAGGTTTTACTGTAGTAATGTATACAGTTTTTAAAAAAATTGAGTGATTTTATTCAAAATTAAAGTATCTGTTTGTTATATTTGTACCCGATATTATTTAAAAGTTTGTATTGTATAAACTCTTCTCGTTTAATGTCCCGAGATGATGATAGAAAGACTGTCTTATAATACAATCGAGGCGCTTTTTTCATATTAGTAAATATATAATGCTCTAGAATTTCACAGCTACTGTTGTCTGGATTTTAATACATGTTATTTACTCTTTGTTAGTAATGATCAAATAGCAACAAATCAATTTGGAAACATTTTCTAACAATACACAAATATTCTCCTATTTAATATTTGTGATAAGATTATTTTTAATAGAAATTTAATTCTCAGTTATATTGCTCTCTTATCGCAAAAATATTAAACATAAATACAGACTATATTTTTTTATATTAGTTCAAGTCTAATAAGTACTTAATGTAGGGTGGTTATGTATACTGGATGACTTTAGTTTTAGTTAAAAAAAGAGTAAATGATGCACATTTCCTGGTGGATTATTATATCCGTTAGGGACTGTAATAGTCCTATATTTTTCATAAATCTTTTGTTCACTGTAAATACCACCTACATCTTCGAGAGAAATATATCGACTACGAGTAAGAATAATTCGAAATTCTCTAGGCAAGTATCATAAATATTCTCATATGTGTGCATTTCTATTAAATAATACTTTTGAAAAAATAAATATATATATTTTGGTACATATCCGTTTTCTGGGTTAAAGTTAGCTAAACAAATAATAATTATCATGAAAAAAAGTGACTATTGACATAACCGGAAAGGTACATTGTATCCAGTATATAGAATACTATTTTAATAACATAAAAATACATTCTTATTTGTTTAATTAACTTGATTTAAATGGAGAATAATACAAAACTAACATTAAAGAGAAATATGTATATATATATATATGAATTCTAGTAAATTCTGCATAAAAAATGTACTAATAAAAAAAATAAGATTTGACAAAACAAAAGCATAAAAATTTTTTTTTGACAGTTAGTATGAACTTGAGTACTAGACTACTGTCACTTTCGATAAGTGCAGACAAATTAAAAAAACAATCTTATGAAAATCTCATTAAACTTGTACTTTTTTGTACTCACGGATCGCACCCTGTGAAGTTTTTTTTACCTTGTTTCTACCAATGACATTTATGTGAACTGCATAGAGCTATTTATCAAATGGTGTGCTATTAAATCCCTCAGTGATTATTACAAGTATTATTCTCAAGCTGCCGTAATTGAATTTCATGAATAAAATTGTGACATACCCTTGTTCTCTTTATTTTTTGCTGAGCAACTACAAAAAAGAATGATGATTGTGTTTCAATCGATATTTGAATAACGAAAGTTACTCTTTTATTTTCACTGTTAATTAATTATTAGATAAATGAAATGTGTTTAACGTAACAACATATACTTTATGTGTTATGAAATGCATATAAATATTATTTTAATGCTCTTAATTAGTTATATTTTAAATTTTAACAAAAAAACATCAATGTTGTCTTTTTATTTATTTATTGTTTCTAAAACTTTACATTAATTGTTCATATTCTTGAGAATCCAAATCTCGTCGCCAAAAATTTGAACGTTTACGCCAGAAATTAGAACGTTTCCAAAAATTTGATCGACGGACAGGCGGTAATGAACTTGCTTCATTGTTTCCATTATATTTATTGTATGCAGTTAAAAGTTTTGATAATAATTCTGTTAATTCTTTAGAATTATTTTCCTCCATATTCACTTCATTTGAATCCGGATGTGATGGTGATTGTAACCATATAGGATTAGCATTAGTATTATCATCGCTATTATGAATGTTAGCTTCTAATAAATTTGTTGGTAACCGTTCGCCAGACATGCATTGAAAAAGAAACGAAATGCAGAAGAATATTATTGCTAAATAGAAAAAGAAATACATTGATATTCAATGAAATACATAAAAAGAATAACATACTAAAACGAGAAACTTCCTTGGAAATCATTATGATGATAAAGAATAATAAAATGAAGAACGCTTCTTCTAACTAACGGGATTTGTTGTTGAAATGTTGGCGTATATAATAGGAATGATGAAAAAGAAAGAATACAGAAAGAGAAAAAGAAGAAGAATTATTTTTTTTATTTGGAATTTATTTGTACTATATTAGGAATGATGATAATGTCCTGTAGACCTTTTCAACGTCTTGTCATAAATGTTGATTATGCCACCTTCTCTCTCGACACTTGAATCAAATAAAAAAATACGATTTAATATAAACACATGATATATTATTTTGTAACACATTTCTCTCGATGTTGGAGTGCTTTATAGTTTTTTTTCTCTCTTTATTAGAAATATAATCTGCTTTCATTTTCTGTTCTAATTCAACTATTGCTCGAAGAAGAAAAAGATCACACATTCATTGAAACAACATACTCTATGTTTGATCATTCACCATATAGCAATTATCTAACATATTATAGTTTAATAATAATGTCACAAGTTGTTTTCTATTTCTGTTCATCAAAAATAAATGTCTGCCTTTGAAAGATCAGCAGTTACAAAACAAATATATTCAATTGATTCTATTTTCAACGATTTAATTGTGCATAAATCTATATAAATATATAATGAAGTTCATTCTATTTATGTAAATATCTAAATTTATTCTAGTTCTTTAATTAGACAAAACTTATGGATGATCATATTTTGTCATACTTTTGTTGAATATTTAATAATTAAGTGGTAGATCAGTTCCAGTGAATATATTTACGAAAGAAATTATAATTAACTCATTAGACAACACAATATGTTCGTATATAAGTTTTTAGTGTAAATAACTAATGAGAAAATCAAACCAATTGATGGAAAGCTTTTGAGTTCATATTTTGCCCGTAAGCAACACTCGATGTAACTAGAAATATTGTAAAAAGGATTCACTCCCAAAGGCATCGTTTGTTAAAACACGAATATTCCATGTGTAGCGTAGGAGGTATATATACATATTAAATACTGACTAAAATCGTAATACCGATTCATTTCAAACATGAAATTTCTTTGTAAAACACCTAGAATTATATCTAATACTGATAGTATATATGTTTCAATTATTTGTTTGTCATATATTCTGATATAAAAAATTAATAACTCGTTCTGCAGTTCTTGTAATATCGCATTTTGATTACACCCACACCCACACTCACTCTAAAAAAAAACACCTGCATCAACCCGTATATAAATGTCAGAATTGATTCGGATAAGTCGACATTCATCCTTTCCAACTATTAGTATATTATGAATACGATTTGTAAAATAAGTAAACCTCGCAATTGAAATAATAAGTAATATATTTATACTTCTTATTGTAAATATGAAACATGTTTTGTAAATTAAATTAAAACCTTAAAATCATTTAGTGATACCAAAATCAATACGATCTGCAGAAATTGGTGTTTTTTTCTACATAGAAGAGTATTATGCTAAATGATAATTATAATAGTCAGATTATTATATTATTTGTGGCAATTGATGACTTGGATCAACTATTTTTATAATCACTCTTTTTCTATTGAAATAATATATAAGTATTTAGTTAAGTACACCTGAAAATACATTACATTTCTTCAATACTAGGTAGCTGCCTTAAAATTTGCAAGAGATCTTATGTATTTAAGGTTTAGCTATGTAAAGTCTACCATCTTAATTGCATAAAAAATTCTTGATATGTAGTTCCTCTCTTCCTGATTAAAGATTCTTTGTGAAACGATGTATATAAATCGTCGGTAAAACAGAGTCTCAATTATGAACATACCATAAAATTTGTCATTTAAGTTTAAACTAATATTATGATTAAGACATAACTTTCTTAGAATAAAAAGATAAAGTAAGACTTATTTTTCTTCTTAAATATAAACTCTGTCATATGCAATATTTAATAGATATTATATTTACCGTATCCTATTGAATAGTATTAATATAGACAGATGAACTTTTCTGAAATATTCAATAACAAGATGATATCAAAAATCTATTCTAAGTTTTTATCTCTTCTTTTTATTTTGTTCATCTGTTCTTAGATGTCGAAGGTTATAGTGCATTCTATACATCCGCTTTTTTTCGTTTTTTTCACATATGAAGTTATAATATTGATTGATGACTTATTAGTTTAAGAACGACAGTGCTTGCGGATGAGTAATTGATGAAAGTCACTGTGATCTATCATTATTTAATCTTGAAGTCTATTACTTAATCCTGAACCTTTGTTAACAGAGTCATCATCGTTTTATTCAAGCTTAATGAAATGAAAAATTTATTGATCCATTATAAGATTTTAGACTACACGTAAAAAGCAAACTATTTATTTAAACAAATAAAAATTTATGGTTGTGATCAAATGAATTTCTGTATCATATGAAAAGAATGATTTAATTTAAGTTAATATCACTAGAACCAATTTAGATTAAAACTCAGTATCTTGATCAATGAATAACCCTCATCAATAGGCAATTGAAATATTGTACATGATATATCTATAGATTAAACTATAAAATCTTGATAGTAGGATGACAAAAGAAAAGAATAGCACATATTTATTACCTGGTTATTATGTATTTTTAAATGAAAATTTTCGACAGACTGTACTCTATTTTTGAGGTATTGTTTGATTGTCAGCGAAGATTAAATAGTAATTTAAAGGTTTCTAAAGTAAAATAGGTGAGTAAACAATCAATAATTTGTCTAGTTGATGCATTAGACAGAATTACTAAAGGTATTCTTCTGGAAAATTAAATGAATCGGCACTTATATATATATATAACTGATAACTGTTATATTTTAAAACAATGTCTTTATTTGTCTAAGCACAAAATATCTGTTGCTGACCTATTTTTACATCGATTACAGAAACCAAAATTATTTTTATTTCGAACATCAACCCATAAAATTTCTATATTTGATACAAATCAATGTTCTTATCTTTAAAAATGTATTAAAAACTTGAAAAAAAATCATATTCAATCGATGCTATAAAATTTTTGATGATTGAATGTCGATCATCATTCACTTTTTCTTTTCTCATTGTTTGTTTTAGTTTACCATGACAGAATAGAAAAAAATAGTCTTTCATCTTTTAAGCTACAAAGCAAATAATACAGTTGCTAGATTATTATGTGATCAGCACTATTTAAAAGATTTAATGCGTCAAATTTTATTCGCTAAGTGTCTGTTTATTATTTTTTACCTTTATATACATCAGGCTTCAATACGCATTTCTTTAGTTTGTTGTTAACCAACTCATTTCTACACAGAGCACACATTTTACAATGACAGTAAGTTACGAAAAAAAAATTCTAATCAAATTTTGTATATATCTTCTGTTTAGAATAATGGAACAACACTTCGTTATCGAACTTTTCCAAGTAAGAAACCACTACCAACGAATGGTACTCCTCGTGGACAATCACATTCATCAATACCATTTGAAAAAGAACCTGAACGTGATCCTGAAGCTGATTGTTTTATGTGTCGTCAAGCACATGTTTATCTTAAACCAATTGGTATGCAACAAGAATTTCGTGTAGGAGGTAATCAACCTCCACCATTAACACGTGAAGAAATAGATGAATTAAGTCAAAAAAAAGAATTAACTAAAAAAGAAGTTAGACTATTATTACAATGTTATTTTCCTGAAATAAAAGATGTGAAATATTTTCAACTACATAGATATCATTCATGTTGTTATAATCCAAAACATTTGAGTTTATGTAAAAATCATATAACAGCAATACAAAATGATCAGAAGCATCATCCTGGTCATCATCATGATGATAATAATAATGATAATGACAATATGGATCCTGCAAAACAGATTGAAAAACAAAATCGAGTTAGTTTTGTTAGGTAAGAAAGAAATGTATTTCTAATACTAATATGTATATTAATGGTTTTAGAATAAAAATTGAACCAACTAAAGGAATACCAACAAGATTTCTTGGTCCACAAGCTTTACCAGAATCACTTGCTGAAATGCTTCTCAAACAAGTATAGAAATTGATTTAGAAAATTAAGCTTTATTCTTTTTAAAATTCAGGTCAATCGCTATGAAGATAAACAAAAATCACAATCAATTAGTTCGACTCCTGCATTACAATCACAGAGTGCTAGAAAAGCAAAGAATTCATATGGTAAGAAATTATAGCTTTTAGAAATAATTTTTCTTTTGTATTTATCTTCTATGTAGGTTTAAATGGAAATGGTCCTAAAAGTACTAAGGATATTGATGATGATAATTATGATACTGATGATAAACTAATGTCTGGAAGATCATCAAAAACAAAAGATTCAACGAACAAGAATGGTACTGGACGTAAAAAAAATAAACCAAAACATTGGGAATTACTAGCATTACAACAATCAAAACAAGAAACATGCAATTGTCGTCATCATGTTACACGTGTTGAAGATGATCAATTAGTTCATGATTGGTGTCGATGTAAAGATCATCAACATAAAGATATGGGAGATTCACATCAACCAGTAGGTCTTGGAGAACCTTCACCTCGTGAAATGCGTCTAAATATTAATGAAGTTGCTTATGATTGGTGTAAATGTACACATCATCGAAATGCAAAATCAAATGAAAGACGTAAATCAATAACACTTCCATCACTTTCACAAAATGGAATGCGTTCTTCTAATGGTCACAATACTGATACAGGATACGATCATAGTGATCATTATCATGAAACAACAATACGTAAACGAAAATCAGGATCATCACCACCGCCACCACCACCGCCACCACCACCATTAGCTTTAGCTCGTGATGAAACAAAACCAGTACTACGATCTGTCACACATCGAACAGAAGCCGTACAAACAACTCCACCTTCTCAACCATCAGCACGAGCAGAAAATCGAAAACGACGTGATGAATCAAAACGTACCACACCATCCATAACTTATCGTGAAGAATCAATGCAGACAGTAACACCACCACCACCACCACCACCACCACCAACAAGACCAGTTCAAGTGTCTCAAAAACGACGTGAATCAACAACACAAACAAGGACAGTTGCTGTCGAAACACGAGAACCTTCATCAACTGAAATTGCTCTATCTTATGATCCATCAGTAGTTGATTATGATGTCATACAAGAAGCGATTTATTATAGAACTTCATCTGGACGATTAGTAAAATCTTTTTTTCTATAGATTGTAATATTCTTTCTTTCTTTCTAGATCAAACCTCAAATAACTAATTCTTACACATATGATACTGAGCATTCAGCAGCAAATAATAATTATCAAGCACCAAACTCAAGTAGAGATCGAGTTATATACGTGACACATAACGGTCAAATCCCTGGCAATAATGACCGACGTCAGAAAAAAAGTATTATTTCTGATTTTTATTACATTTAAATCTATTGATACTTTAAAGACGTTGAACGTTCACCATCAAAATCAGTTATTCTATCGAATCCAGGTTCAGTATATAGAGGTCAAGCATATGTCAATCCTGAACATGCTCAAATGCATAATGGTAACTCTAATACTGTCCCCCTACTTAAATTACCTACAATACCAGCATCATCAAGACAACATTATAATAATAATAATCAAGATCAATATCAGCATCAACCAGCAGAATTTACTTTAGCTAAATTCTCTCATAATCCTGCAGATACAACTCCTACACAACGTTCACAGGCAAATGATTCAGATGGAGGATGGAAAACTGTTTCAATGTCAATGCAAAAAGTTGGATTATTTTTTATTTAAATTATTTCTAATTCTTTTTTATGCTTTATTTCATAGAGTTCAAAACCAACTTTTACTAATTCAGATCCAACACCTAATTTCGGTCGTCAATCTAGTGTTATTGCTAATCGTCGTTGGTTTGATCAGCCACTTGGTGATCAAAATTTACATCCAGTACATGATAGTGAATATGGTGTTATTGCTACTCCACAATCCGATTCCAAACAAACTAAATATCAAAATAATTCACAGCCAACAGTAAATATTTTTTATAAATTAATAATTTTCGTTTTTTTTTACTTTTTTTTTAGAAAAAGGAAAACAACTGCACAATATCATAATTATAAAAATATATATTCTTTTCTTTTTCTAATATTATACATATAAATAAAAAAAATATGATTTGAAATTTTTATTTATTTTGTTTCTTTTTAATTGCTCATTTTGGAACAAGAGCAAATAAAGTTGTATTTGATCTTGGTAGTCCTGTTGCTTGTGCCCATATAAGTTCTTTAACAGATTGACGAAAATGTGTACCGAAAAGAAATAAAAAAAATGATATTGTATGATTTAAATACATAGCTAAATAAGCAATAGCAAGGCAATGATGAAAATATTTATAATGATTTAATTTATATTCAAATTGTTCCAGAAATGCAACTGGAACAGAAAATATAAGAAATAATATAGACATTAATATAACTGAAAATGTTATACGATGATTATTTGATAAATGTATTGTTGATGATATTAATGCTAAACGTCTTTTACGTTGTTGTTTTAAATAAATAACTAAACGTACATTACATATCATTATAATCAACATAGGTAAATATGAATATAAAAATGCATCAAACCATAAATAAAGTAACCAATAACGTCGACAATGTAAATTATGTGCAACTGATTGACATATTATTCGATGTTTAATTTTTCCATGTTGATAACCAGTACAATAAAAAAAATGTGAATCAAGTATAAGAAGAAGTAATACAACGAAGCATGTTATCCATAGAATTTTACTTTGTTTTAAAAATGTATTACGTAATGTATGATTATCACTATTTGTTAATAATTGTGTTGATCGTAATGTAGTAATAGCTTTTTTTAATGGTGGTAACATTGATAAAGTTTTACGGGCTCGATCTAATGTCATTAAAGCTAAAAGACTTGATGATAGTTGTAACAAGAAATATGTTGTAAATCGATGAGCACGACATATAAATAATGATGTAGAACGTACATCAAATTCTAATAAAAAACAAACGTAAATTAAAAATGAATTTCTTATTTCTTATTTTTCTAACCTGTTAATGCTAATACTAATAATCGAAGTGCACCTGTATATAATATTGCTAAATCAACAAGAGCAATAAGAAAGAAGAACATATATGTTGAATTATTATTACGAAATCGTTGTGCATAAAGACATTTTAAACTCATTATTGAACCACATGTACCAATAAATATTAAACATGGGAAAAATACTTTATAAATTAAATTAATTGTTGGTGATGTTATAACAATTGTTTGATCATCATCTAATGATGGAATTTCAAATAATATTTCATTTGAAATATTCGATATTGTAGTTGTAGATGATAAACGACGAAAAACAAATCTGCCACTCGCCATTGATGGCATTTTTTGATAAAAGTTGTTATTAGCGCTGTTCGTCGATATGTGTATGTATAAATACGTACGTAAGATACAATAATATAGATCGTCGATATGTGAAAAGAGAAAGAAAAAGAAGTAGTATAGGTTGGTTAGACCCGTTTAATGTACAAATAAACGATAGTTCATTCTGTTTTCATGAAAATAATTTTTTTGTTTCGTCCTAGATATATCATGAATAAAAACTAAAGGCTAGAGAGTTCATTTTACATGTAATTCAGCTACAAATATATGTAAAAATACTTGGTATTAAATCATAAGATTATTCATTTGTAGTTATGATTTTTTGATTTTTATAATCCAATAAATTTATATTTTGAATTATACAGATGGCAGTTGTTCACTAGTTTTGTTATGATCGATGTCGAAAACAAAGATTAAATAATTAGTTTTTTTTATATAGATTTTGTCTTGAAATTTCAAAGTATTTTATATATGAATATTTATTAATGATAAACGTATAATGAGAAAAGTCTCCTATACATATTTCAATCTAGTGAATTAGTAGTCTTTGTGTTTTATAAAAAGCATTCAATATGAAATTTTTAAGAAGATTAATTTAATCTGACAGTGAAACTAAAATATCTTTAATGACATGTTTGATAAGAAGATTAAAATGTTCTTTTTTTGTTCATGGTTTGTAGATACCATAAATCTGATTGAAAAAGAATAATTGTCAATAAGAATGAAGTAATCAAGGCTTATTAAAAGAAAAAATTTATTATTTTACTAAGAAGTAAAGAAACTATGTTTTTATGTTCTTCATATTTATATTCGCTTCTTGAATTTCTTTGTATATATGTATCGAACGAATCAGTTGTAGTTAATATATTGAAATTTCTTTCGTCAAACAAACGAAATATTTTTATTTATTTACTAATGAACGTAACAAGAACACTCCCCGAAGCAACTGTTGTTTTATTATTATTAATCAAAAATCTTTCTAGAAAACATCTAGGGAATTTTGTTTTGTTTTGATTCCAATTTATAACGTATAACAAAAAAAAAGTTTGTCGTTGAATCTGACGAGAAGATCTAGTAAAATAATAAATTACTTTTCAGTTTTAACTATGTATTCATTATTTAAATTCTTTTTGAAAATAGAAAGATCCTAGAAATTTTTCTTCTGAGGAGATAACTATTTTACTGTAGGCAATATTTTGATTAACACCTTTATTCATAGAAAAGTCTTAGGATGACTAAAATAACTATCATCTATATTACTCTAATAACAAAACATGAGTCTATAAGTTAAAATTCAGGTCAACATATGCTCGACAATAAATAATAAAATAGAACAAAATAATTGTTACTTGAAAAGAAAAATATATGAACATCAATCATATAATGTTTTTTTTTCTCTCTTCTCATAATAAGACCTGAATAAAGAATGAAGTCTCAGTTCAAAAGCGATTTATTACATGGTGAGTTTCCCTTGTGAATGCATTAGATTACAATGTTAATATATAAAATAATTCTAGATATCATATATATATTTTCACTAAAACATGTCTATTTACGAGGAAAAAAATGAATCACAAATTGATAGTTTTACACCGGATACACCTTGTTTCATTTCCGCTTTTAGGAAACTATGAATAGTTTTCTTCTATATATTAAAGATTTATTAGAGTGCTAGGAGTTTTTTTATGTTTTTTTGTATTCATAGAATCTTTTTCTCATCATTTGTATTTATTCAAAATTAATTTGACTCAATAATCTATATCCTGTAATGAATTCGCATGTTGATCAAGTCTATTTATTCTTTCTCTCTCGAGAATTAATATATTCGTAGATTTAAGTATAGAAAAAGAAAGAAAAAGAAAGAATTGGCATAATAATATATAAGAACAAAGAGACTAACCGTATTCGAATGAATGCCTTTTTCTTTTTCTTTTCCGTGAAAATAGTTTCCCTTTTATTTATTCACCTAGACATCTTTTTTTTTAAGCTTTGTTGATTCCGAAAGTTTATTAAGTGAATTTTCAATTAACAGAACAAGAACAAAGGATATACTTGAAGGAAAAAGGTTAATTAAACTTTTCCGACATCAAATAAAAAGAAAAAAGAATTTTATGTCTTAGAAGAAAAATCTGATAAACCGATACTTTTGTTTGCATGATTGATATATTCAATAATCATCAAATAAAGGAAAGAAACTATGTCTCATATGCTAAAATATTAATTTAATCTCTTGTCATCGTCGTCGTCGTCGTTATTTATTACACGATATTTTTGTTGTTTCTCATTCATTGAACATTTGCTCATTACAAATTCGAAAGTCTATATAGTTTTCAATACTTTCTCTAGATTTTTTCTTCTTCTTTCAAATAATCAATTAAACAAACGCCTTCCGATAGGATATTATTTATTCTTCATGAAATACTCTCTCTTAATCATAAGTTTTATAATGTCTTCTTTTTTTGTCGCAATGCATGACAGCTAACATCCGTGAAAATCAGTTTCTTATAAGCATAAATGCATGTCGTCTGTCACTTTCAATAGGAATAGTAGATGAGTTGAATAATCCTTGTATATACACTTGTTTATTTAGGCTTGCTTGTTCCAACATATATAAAAGTGTTGTTCATTATAAGAATATTCAGAGATTTTAGCTCATTTTTTTTCTTCTTATTTGACCAAGAACGGCATCCGTCACCAAAAAAAAACGCTACTAGTATGATCTTGCTCTTTTCCACCATTTCCTTGTCGTTACTCTAAATAATGAACTGTTGTCGTACAAGAATATAAAAGAAGAAGAAATAGAAAAAAAGAAAAAAAAAAAGGAATCGAGAAATGGAGATGATTCGGCTTCATATAGAGCGAACTTTCTTGCTTACTAACAGCATATTATAATAGAAGACGACGTTACATTCTATTGCATGTTGTCATCGTCTCTTTTTGCAAACGTTCTTTGTTTTCTTCGTATTTCACAGTTGCCACCGGCTGTCGTTTCTTGTCGTTCAAATGAATATAGAAAGAGACGAGAAGAAAAGAAAGATCTTCTATTATAGTTGTGCTTACACATATGAGATAAACGACAGAAGCTGAACGAGTTACAATTAACATCATGCTATCGTCATCTTTGTACTGTCAACAGTAGTGTAGTTGTAATTGTTAGGAAAAGTGCAACTCTCAAGCGAATCACATTCGATTCATTTCTTCTACTTATTCTTTAATATAGTACTTCGTTTCTTTTACTTTAGTATAAAAAGAATTAAAAATTAACTTCATATGAATAATCATATGAAGTATACTTTTTAATTGATATTATTCATATTTTTATATTTATATAGATTATTCTACTTGAAGATATTAACATAAATATGGAATCTAGTGATTATTATCAAAGTAGAAATGATCCCTATCGTCAACAACAAGATCATGATCAAACTGAACTTTATGAATATGATACTGAAAAACGTTCAACTACGTCACGTCTTGGTAATCTATTTGGTTCAACATTATTACAAAAACCACCTAAAATATTACAAAATGCACCTAATTTAATTGATTCATTACCGGCAAATGTCAATCGTACATTAATATATGCAAAGCTCTTTTATTTCTGGTATTTTGCTGCATTTGGATCACTTTTTCCGCTTCTTTCAATCTATTTCAAACAAATGGGCATGGGTCCATCATATTGTGGTATTCTCATGGGCTTTCGGTAAATGGAAAAAAAAACTAAATAGATTATTTTATTTAGTGTTTTGATTTTGATTATCAATGAACGATAGAGAGTGAAAGGATTAGATAAAGTGTTGTCTAATGTAAAGTGCTTAGGACAAGAAGAAAATGAAAAAAACTGATAGTTTCTTATATAATTACACCATCTCAATCTTCCGTCATAGTAAATAGCACTTGAAAACAGCCACTTATCTGAGTAGGAATGTCGATAAAGTTCGCATCACTTTTTTTCTTTTCGAAATTTAATATCTTAATTAAATACATAAAAACAACGTTTATTTAAATTGAAAATCTAATTTTATTTTTTTTCCTTTCTCATCTAATCAATAGACCATTTGTTGAATTCTTCTCAGCACCATTTTGGAGCGTTGTTTCAACACGTTTTCGACAGGCGAAAAATATTTTATTAATGGCACTTTTATCTTGGATTGTCTTTACAGTTGCAATTGGTCTTATTAAACCACCTCCACATTCATGTTGGCGAGAAATGAATGCAACACATCAATCAATTGAACGTGTAGGATATTCAACTAGTACGATGAAATCACATACAAAACATCATATGAAACGACAAATAGTAACATTACCAACGATTTCTTCGTTAAAGAATTTAAATAAATCAAAAGAAATATTTGATGAAGCAAAAGATTCCGTTATTAAAAATATTTTAAATTCAACTAGTAATCAAATTAGTAATATAAGTAGTTCAACATCAAAACGACGAAAAACTACAACAGTAGCAACAACTACAACAGCAACAACAACAACAACAAGAAAAATTAAAACAACTCGACGTTCAACTACAAAAATTAATAAGAATAATGAGGATGATTATGAAGAAGATGATGATGTTGAAAGTAGCGAAGAAGATAATTCAATAAATGAAAATCGTAAAAAACCACCAACTAAATCTAATAAAAAACCATCTGATACAAATAATTTATTGCATGTTAATACACCACAAAAGACAATTGGGAATCCAATAGAAATAACATTTACAAATCTGTCACTTGTCAAACCACTAGCATCACCTGTCTTATATGATCAAAAAGATGTACGAAATGTTTTTATGGTTTTCTTACTTCTTATTATCATTGGAGAATTCTTTAGTGCACCAGCAATAACTTTAGCTGTAAGATTTCTTTTACGTCATCAACTTATGTAAATTAAATTTCTCTTATATAGGATGCTTGTACATTAACATACTTAGGTCAAGATACTGAATTATATGGACGACAACGAATGTTTGGTAGTTTAGGTTGGGGTTTAGCAATATTTATTGTTGCTACTATACTTGGTAAGAGAGAGAGAAAAAAAAACAGCTGATATTCTAAACATTTTATTTAATTAGATCAATCAAAATCATTAACATTCTATGCTTGTGGAACAAGTGGACCACTTGAAAAAAATTATACTGTTTGTTTTACAGCATTTACTGTTTGTATGACATTTGCACTAATAACTGCAACACGTTTTCAATTTTCATATGAAACAAATGAACAAGTACCATTAAATACACTAAATAAAGATTTAAAACGTTCAATATATCCAACAACAAAATTAAATGTTAACGAACAGGACATACATAGTGTTCTAAATGATGAACAACAAATACACATTAATATAAAACAACAACAACAACAGCAACAACAAGAACAATATCAAACTTCCACTACAATAAAGTTAATGCAACTTTTACAAGTTTTTATGACATTAAAAAATGGAACATTTCTATTTATTGCATGGTAAATAAGAAATAGATTATAGAAGATTTATGAAAATTGTTGTTCTTTTTTTTCAGGTGGATGGGTTGTGGTGTTGGTCTTGTATTTACATTTCTTTTTTGGCATTTACAAGATCTTGGTGGATCGCCAACACTCTTCGGTAATTTCTTTTAATCATGTGAATGACATAAGAACATCATTTAATTACTTGGACTAAGGTTTTGTAAGGTTATATTAGAAAATAAGCTCGTTATTTTCTTAATCATATAATAACAGGAAATAGTATAGAAAATTTTATCACGCAATCTATAACATATTAGCACATGCCTAGTACTATGAGAATTAAAAGAGTAACAAACACATATATTTTGTCTCTAAAGATTGTGTCAATTTAAATGTTATGTTACAATAATCAAATTTGTCTATAAATTATATTAACACAAAAAAAAAATCAACAAATCCTATTTCTTTTGTTAACAAAATATTTATACGATTATTTTTAATGGGTTTTTCTTTCTTTATTTGTTCATTGTTAGGTGTGGCTTCAGTTATTAATCATACGAGTGAATTATTTGCTTACTTTTTCCTACATGAACTAATTCATCGTTTTGGTCATGTCAAAATTCTTTATTTGGGTTTATTGGGTAATTTTGTTCGCTTTGTTTATATATCAATTATAACTAATCCATGGTGGGTGCTACCATTTGAATTTATTCAAGGTAATATTAAAAAAAATATTATGCCTATCAATAATAAACTATATATAATATTTAAGGATTAACTCATGCTGCCGTTTGGGCAACCGCATGTTCATATTTATCTCAAGCAGCACCCGAAAGTTTACGTTTATCATGTCAAGGTGTTTTACAAGGTTTTCATTTTGGTTTTGGAAGAGGATGTGGAGCTTTATTTGGCGGTTTTTTTGCATCTTATTTTGGTACTGATATAACATTCCGTGCATATGGTATAATATGTTTAATATTTATGGGTTTATTTATCTATCTTAATCAACGTTTTCAACAACCAGTTGTTACTGGTTATGGACAAAATTTAAATATTGATGATCCACATCAATTTATAGGTAATTCACCATTACTTGCTCCACATGGTGCACCAACAAATCCTAAATGGCAAACTAAATTTTCCTCAGGTTATTATTTATGAATAAAATATATTTCAAATATACTTCATTTTTTTCCTCTAATAGGTTTAACGGCTGGTATTAAACAAGAGCAATTACATTCAACTTCAATACCATCTGTAAGCATTTTTTTTCTCTCGATTTTAACATCAAAACTGAAAACAAAACATTCTTTTGATTTCTTTATAGTTTGATAATCAAACAACGACAGGAAATAATTATAAAGATTATCATTATGGTTATTAACCTAACTGGATAAATCGATGTTAGCAATATTTGTTTCTTTTTTGTTTTGATTGTATATGTATATATGTGTATGTAGATTCTTATTTTTTATTTACTAACCCATTAAACAAAAATATCTATTTTCCCTTACTTATTTTTTTGTTGTCAAAACTCAAATGCAATAATTGTTTTTTTTTCTCCATAGTCCAATAACCATAAAATATGTGCTTTTTATAGATTGTTAAAGGCTATTCAAAATATATATGGTGGGCGATTTACATTAACAAAAAATTATATTAATATGAGTAGGCGAAAAATATGTTTACATTGCTGTGTGTACCGGCTACCTTTGCACAGTAATCGAGAAAAAAAAACATTTTTGTTGTTATGTAAAAGCTAATTATTCAAAAAAACATATATTTAATGATTTACCTATAACGAAAACAATGCGTTGTTTCTAGTACGTGGGCCGATCAATAAATAGTGAAAAAAATTATAACGATTACTATCATTTATTTACAAGAATAAAATAACACAGTCGTAGTATAACACAATGCACCATCTTTATAGCCGATCATTAATTATATGGATTTTATGCTTATTGATTATCTTTGAAGAAGCTTCTTCATCAAGATTACGTGCACCTGGTATAAGAGTATCAGCATCATTTCAAAAGCCAACTCCCTGTCATAAGAAAAAAGCTCATGCCGATAACAACAGCAGAGTGACAGTTCCAAATGAATCAATGGCATCACATGTTCGTGTAACAGCGAAGGGTTGTAAAGCATAATGGGAATGTTTCAATGATTTATTACTAAAATGTTATAAACATAAAATGTTTTCTTTATATCATATTTATTTTCAAAATAAAACTTATATTAGTATTGTCAAGAAATATATAATCGAATTGAAATTATTTTAAAATTCATCAGTTTATATGTCGTAAATATTCTCATCGATCAACTTAATATTAAGAACAATAGAATTTGCCATATAGTAAATCAATAGTCATAAATCTTTTATTCTTGACAATGAGACGCAATCGATTAGTCTAAATGTATTCATTGTCCGAACAAAAAGAAAATCAATCGTAATGACTATCAGTCTTTTGAGCTTATCTTTTTTGATAAATGAATTATATTGTATAAAAGAAATCTCGAAAGAATTTATTATATATATATCGTTAGTATCAAAGTAATACTCATGAGAAATTGATTTTTCTTTTCTTATCATAATTTCGTAGGCAACAAAACATATTTTTTAAATATCAACAATTTGTTTGTTTTAGTATTTCATATAATCATATTGCACTTGACACAAGACTATAATCGTTAATGAAATTAAACTAATTTGAAAAAATAGATTATGATAATTTTTCTAGCAAAAAAAAGAAGAATACAAGACAGATCTTTTCCGGCTTCTATCGGCAAATCTACGCTTGTCTATCTATCAATCAATCAAATTATAAGTTTAAGCACGATACACTTCCCTTGACAATGATAATGTAAGTATCTCAGATTTATTACATATATATACATATGCTCAGTTTGTGTTATAACAATTAAAACGATCGATCGCTGACGGAGATTTAATATAATTAACAACGAGAAAACTGACAAAAAAATCTGATTAGATATGCTTTTCAAGACATAACAGTATCGATGATCTAATCTATTAATTATCAAACTAAACAAAATGTCTTATAAAAAACAATTAATTCAGCTAAATTTGATAAGATAATATATGTAATATCTATACACTAACGACATCTTCAATGCTGATCTATCGTTATTCTTTTCAAATCAAGCAATCATATATACGATGGTTTTTTTTATCGTAATAGTTCTTTGTCAAGTAAGAAGACAAAAAAAAAGTATTGCAAAAGAAATTTGTAATTTAATTTATTGATAAATTTTAGATATATAATTAAAAATGTCTATTGGAGTACCTATTAAAATTTTACATGAAGCTGAAGGTCATGTTGTTACAATTGAATCTGTAACTTCTGAGGTTTATCGTGGAAAATTAATTGAAGCTGAAGATAATATGAATTGCCAATTATCAAATGTAACCGTTACTTATCGTGATGGACGACAAGCACAATTAGAATATATTTATGTACGTGGATCAAAAATTCGATTTATGATTTTTCCTGATATGTTAAAGGTAAAAAACAAGTTTTATTTGAATTTAATATATTGAAATTGTTTTTCTCTTTTTTTTCTATTCAAAGAATGCACCAATGTTTAAAAATATGCGTGGTGTTAAAGGTGGTGCCGGACGTGGTAAATCAGCTATATTACGTGCTCAAATTGCTCGTGGACGAGGTGCTCGTGGTCGACCACCCATGAATTCATTTGTTGGACAACCCGGTGGTCGTGGTGGTGGTGGTCCACCAGGTAGTGATCGTGGTGGTATGGGTGGTGGACGTGGACGAGGAGGTGATCGTTAAAAATGGTCCGATCTTTATTTAGTCAGATCTTGCCAATTTTAAAAAAGACATTATTAAAGTGGACCGTTTAAGTGTTATTGTTTGTCATTCTTCAAAGTTTTTGCTCTGTTTAAAAGAGAATAAAAAATTATTTCCTAAGAACAAAATGATTGATTATTATAACAAGATTTGAACTAATTTTTCTAGGAGAAGATGAATTTATTATTTAATATATTCATCAAAGTACGACGTAGTTTTTCTTTCGGTACTCTAGTTAATTTAACGGTGAAGAGAAGAAGAGATACAGGATGTATGTATTCTTGTAAATCTACTATTTCTTTGATCAGACTCTTTTAGATATTTTCTGCTTAGTCTTTAAAGGACTTTTATTAAGTTATGTGATAATTTAAGCATCAAATAGTTTCTTACTCAGTTTCCGTTGATCTTACTTTTATCAATATTTAAAACAAATTCTTTCTTCTTGATTACCACAAACTATTATAAGGAAAATTTTTGTTTTTGTTATATTGACCATCTCTTTGTTCGCCATATCGTCAACTAACTTCTCCACTAAGAAGACTATGATTAATAAACAGTAAACAATTAATCAATGACTATAAGATCTATCATAAATCTTATTTATTACACGAATTTTTATCTTTAATTATTTCTTTTTTTGTTTATACCCTCAAGATAATATCTCTTCTGAGACTGACTCTAGTTCTTAGTTTCTAGTTCTTATACAGAATAACAAAAACAAATATAGACATATACAGTATATATAAACTAATAGTAATAGTTATTTATAAATCAAAATTTCATCTTGTAATCTATGATCTTATTATTTGAAAACTAATTATATGATACTAAATTAAATTTCTTATCGAAATTTTTATTTATGAATCTATTTTTTTGATAATCTATAAATATGAAAACATCTGTCATTACTCATCCAGTCAAACTTTCCGCTCAACAAAATACTTTCATCTTCGTAAGGTCTGGTTTTCATCAAATTAAAAATGAACTGCACATTGCTGTTGATTATAATATTTTTAAGATAATATTTACTGTAAAAATCGAATATAAATATTATTCTTTCGAGGTTTTAATCTATAATTTATTACATAAATTCTATTTTTGCAAGAAAAGATAATAAAATACCTGAAAATCATACTTTTCTAACGTCAAAATGTAAATGAACTGTTACGAACTAATATGTCACATTACGCGAGAAAAATTTAGCTGATTAATGACATTTTCTATGATGAAATTATATCACACATCTTATATTACTTAGAAAATATGGGTTAGAAATTCATCGTCTACGTTCGAAGAGCTTCTCACATACGCACTCATAGTATATGTTATTATTATTAAATTGTCCTTTCCTTCGAGCTATAATTAAAAAAAACAGTTGATTATGATCTTAAATGTACTCGAAACAAATTAAGTCCTGAAAAAGTACATTTAATAGCTACTTTATCATAAAAAAAGAAGAAAGTTAGAATATTTGAATAACAAGATCAAATATCATTAACTAAATCTAAACCAGATAATATTTGCGCTTTATGTATCATATTATCATTTATTTTATTATATCAAAATTCTATTCCAATACAAAAACTATTCGAATTGCCTTCATTAATAAGTATATCTCAGTTGATGAAATAATATCAGCATGTCAAGTTATATCAGCTTCCTATACCATTTATATAATAACTATACCATCTTGTTCCATTACATAATGCGATGAAATTTTAATTGATAGATATAAAAACCATTGAATTGTACTATTTCCTGCTGTTCCATGAAGAACATGACATTTAATTAAATATTCTCTTTTTCTTATTTTCAATTGACTAATTGTTCGATTCAGTGATGTTATTCTTTATGTTTTACAATAATCAACTTTCGAGCTATCTGTTAATATCAGACATGAAATAAGAAAAATTATATCTGTCCTTTTTTTTCTTGTTATTGAAAATAACTCATAAGGAATGAAAAAATTGTCGACATCGGAAGTTTTTACACTCATTATATTAATAGAAGGATGTTACGATTCGTCTATTGATATTAATATTGAATATATACTTGATATTAGTTATATTAAAATACAGAAAAAGAATAAATATATAAGATTTCAAAATAAATAACTGAAATTATTCGAAGTATATATCGTAATGAAAAAATAAATTGAGTTTATTTTTCCATTAAAGAGTAATATTATTTCCGATACATGTGATGAGTAAAAAAAAATAGATCATATCATCAAAAATTGCGACCTCTGTATTTTTTCCTTTTCACTATTGGGTTTTGTCATTGAGCCATTTGTATTGATGTTCGCCTCCTACGGCTTGTCTAAGCACGCTATAGTTTCCGCTGTTTGTCCTGTATATATATTTGTATATATATATATATATCGTATTTTTTCTTCTGCGTCTTTTGTTATTATTATTTTGCAATCTCAAGTGGTTTTGTTTGTCGAACAGATCACTTATTTATTAGTTTCAGATCAAGTTTTTTTCTATTTTTATAATTTTTTATTTAATTCAAAATTTTTCTTACATCCAAAACAGAAAAACAAAATTATGTCTGTTCCATTTTCAAATACCAAATTACGTATACCAGAAGGTTTTCAAAATCTCTTAATTGGTTTATCAACGGAAATTCTTCGAAATCAACCGAATAATATTCCAGTATTTGCTGCTGAATATTTTGAAAAATTACTTCAAAAAAGAGGTAAGAACATACATATATATAGAATTCTATCTAAATATTATTAGAAATTCAAAGATCGTACTTTATTAGTTACTTTTCTTTTTTCTCATCATATTTGTATTTAATGTTTGTTTTCTGTGAAATAACCTTGAGTGATGTTTTATCATTGATTAGATAGGAAGCAAACCATTCAACTTGAATAATATTACATACATTCGCTTGAATGAGTCACATGTAAATATTTCATGATGATATTTTTTCTTTACAACTACAAATAACATATTAACAAAGTGTCAAACGAAAAGACACTGACAATAATACTTAGTTATTGAATGATTTTTATTTAATGTAAAACTCTCACTCTAGTAATATATATATATACATAACAATACTCGCTTCGATACGCTCTCTTATCATCGCAAACAGAGAGATGAATGGTACTAATGGATCGTCGATCATCATCATCGAACGTATGCACGCACGCAAGCATCAACAATACGAACAACATCGATTGATGTTGACTCTTCTATCATTCTTTGTCTTATTGAATATGTCTCATGTGTATCAAATTTCCTATTTGCTGAGAGTCCTCCATCTGCCAATTTGTTATCATCATTCGTGCATATACAGTCAGTTCAAGTATACTGTATTTATGCATGATTGTCTATTGATAGTTATAATGATGACATCACTAATCGAATCATTCTTAGCGACATGCATTGCGAGAGAAGAAACATATACAATATAGAATTCTTTGTTATTTGTTTGCATTTTCCAACAGGATGCTATTCATCTTCCTATCGTCCCAAATAATTATTCATACGATAAAAGAGAACAATTACTGGGATTCCTATAATTGTCTAAGTAGAAATTATATATGCATGCGTAAGCTGAAAATGAAACTGTTCTCTATTCGAACCACTTTCTTTCACTATATACATACATACATGCATACATATGTGTTAAGATTCGATGGAATAAAAAAAAATAAGAATGACTAATGCCTCACGAGAGCTATAATACATAGAGGATCAAAGTCATAAGCGAAACGAGCAAAAGAGCGACAGAATAAGAAAGAAGTGAAAAGAAATTAGAACCACTCCACCCGAGGCGTACATGTAATTTATTTTGAAATGAAAAAAAAAGAAGCTTCTGCTGCTACTTTTCTTTTTCTCTCTTTCTCGACCCGACAACCACCCTCGACTTATGAATGCAATGCAGGCAGCAGCTTGCATGCTGATGAAAAAAAAGTTCATCAATCTGATACAAGAGAAATTATTTCTCATATTTGCTCGTTCTTTTTTTTTTCTACTACAGGAATATATAGAAAAGAAAAGGGAAGGAGAGAGACAGAGAGAGCGCGAAGAAGAGAGACAACGAGAAAGAAAGAAAAAGAGAAGAAGAAGAAGAAGAGCAAGACCAGCCTTAATGACAAAACACTCTTTTATTACCAGTACGACTGCTATTCCATCTACTACTTCATTCATACGTTTCCTAACAGTGTGTGAGACGATTTAGTAAAAGAAAAAAATTATAAGACGTTAACGACAAGAAAATGGGTACGTGCACATCAAAAGCAAAGAAAAACAAAGAAAAATATTTGAAAAATGATATGACAAATGGGGATACTAATAACAATAAAAAAGATTCAATTGCTGAACAAACACAACAACCGCAAAGTTCATCGGCTAATGTTGATCATTTTGATAATGTTCCATTTATTGATTCGGAAGAAAAACTAAATACAACTGCTCAATCACAAACAGCATCATCACCATTATCAAAAGAACAATCCATACCAACCGATCAAGATAATGATAATGATGAACGAACAACAGTAAAAACAAATTTTGAAACAAATGTTTCCTATTCAAGTGCTGAAACAATTGATAAACTTAAACAAGAAGTTTATACATATCTTCGTGACAAAATATTTCCAATTAATGAAGAAAAACAAAAACTTGTCGATTATGTACACAAACGAATTATTGGTAGTACTACACCAGATAGTGCTGTAATTGATGACAGCCTCGAGGAATGTTTCAATAGTATTAAACAACATCAACATCCTGATAGTGATAATAATGATAAAGTAAAAAGGCGTTTAATGAATATTGTAACAATATATGTAGCATCACAATCATCTGATAATTCATTTTTGAAAGCACTCTATGATAAAATGGGACCATCACTGGATCTCAATTCATTGAATGCTGAAACCAATGAACATGAAGTTGTTAATGTAACAGTAACAAAAACAGTGCGACAAGTTTTTGTTGATGGTTCATCAACATTAATTTCTAATCCAACTACGAAAACTACAACAACAACAACAGCAGCTACAACAGAAATACCCGATAGTGTTATTCATATAGCAAATAATGAACATCACATTCCTACTGATTTGCCTGATGATATCCGGCGTAAAGCAGAACAAGTATTGAATAGTTTTAATGATGTTATTCATACCAAACAAAATTAAATAAAACATATTCCTTATTGCTTTATATGCTTATTTCTACTATTATTATCGCTATAGTTATTAATTTTTCTATCTAGGGCAATTTGTTACTCTTATTGTTGTTCGTCTTGTCTATATCTACGTGCGTGTGTGTATGTGACATTTATAGAAATGAGAGGAAAAATGTTATAGCACGTTAAAACAAAAATAGAGACAATTTTATTTCCGTTAATAATCTATCGAAAAAAAAAAGAAATTATTAATTAGAATTTATATATATATATATGCTTTTTCAAAAATTTTCTCATAAGTATAATTTATCAAAGGACTATTCAATGACATCAATCACACGCAAATTAGACAAGAATATTAAAAAAAATCTCATCACAGAGACAACTCTTATATTATGATTGATGATATATATTGTCTTCAAAGAAAAGAATAGTATATTAATATGAAATAATATAAGATTCATTTTATATTCTAGGGAATAAAAGTTCATTGATACATTATATAGAAAGAATGAAAGTTCTAATATATTTTAATTATTCATATTGTATGTTTAGAAGTCATATATAACAAAAAGATAATTTTATGTATTTTCGTTCTGAATCGATTAATTTTAATTAATCAATAAATTCTACTATAATATAGTTTTCAAACAATTTAATTTTATATAAAATGTAATGTATTATTTAGAACAAGGTGAATTACATATATCTGATCAGCAAACAGCTCTCAAGGATCGTTATAATGATAATAATCAAAATTTTCAAGTATGCCTCTTTACTTTAACTAAATATATACTCAACTACTAATGTGATTTAGGAAGAATTTCCAATTGATGCTCCAGAATTAAATAATGCAGCAACAAAAATTCAAGCACAATTTCGTGGACATAAAACGAGACGAAATTTAGAAAAGAAGAAACATGAAGTTCGTTAAAAAATAACCATAATTTCTTTTCAGAATAACAAATTAATATATCCTCTAGAAAGATGAAACCATTGATTCTGATCCACAGAAAGCAGATTATGCAAATAAGCAATCAAAAACATTCAATGATGAATACCAAGTGATTTCTATTGAAAATTGAATTAGAAAAAAAAACTTTTTTTTTCTTACATATTAATTAGGAATCATCACTTTCAACCGGTGCAAATAGTCAACAACAAAATAATCAAGCTTCTGAAGTAAATCTATTTATATATTATTTGTTGAATAGATTGAGAAAATTAGCTTTTTTTAGGACTTTAATGATGATCTCACTGAGGAAGAAAAACAACAACAAGAACGTGCTGCTACATCTATTCAAGTCAGTTCTTTTTATTTACCCCGTTTATGTTATCGATGCTTCTTTGTAGGCACAGTTTCGTGGATTTAAAACTAGACAAAATTTACAAAAAACGAAGCAAGAGGTTTGTGAAAAAATAAATAGAATCTCTTTTGGGAAGAAAAATTAATATGTATATATTGTAGAAAGATGGAATCATTGATTCTAATCAACAGAACCTAGACTATGCAAATGAGCAATCAAAAACATATCACGATGAAGATCAAGTGATTTCTATTCAAAATTGAATTAGAAATATTTTTTTATTTACATATTATTTAGGAATTATCGCTTTCAACCGATACACATGCTCAACAAGAAAATGACGCTGATGAAGTAACTATATCTATATACTATTAGTTGAATAGATTGATTAAAGTACGTTTTTGTAGGAGTTCAATGAAGAGCTTACTGAAGAAGAAAGACAAGAACAAGAACGTGCTGCTATAGCCATTCAAGTGAGCTTTTTATTTACTTGTTTTATGTCATTGTTGGGTTTTCGTAGGCACAGTTTCGCGGATTTAAAACAAGACAAAACTTTCAAAAAATGAAACATGAAGTACGTTAAGAAACCTACAATTCGTTTGAAAAATTAGAATTAATATATCTTCTAGAAAGACGGAATCTTTGATTCTGATCAACAAAACGCAGACTATGCAAATGAGCAATCATCACTTTCAGCCGATGCATATGCTGAACAACAAGAAAGAGATAGCGCTGATGAGGTAAATATACCTACATTGTTTTTGGAATAGATCGAGAAGATTAAATTTTCGTAGGATAATTATGATGATCTCACTGAAGAAGAAAAACAACAACAAGAACGTGCTGCCGTGTCCATTCAAGTCAGTTTTTTAATTTATTTGCTTCGTTTATGTGATCGATGTTATTTTCGTAGGCTCAGTTTCGTGGATTTAAAACAAGACAAAATTTGCAAAAAGAGAAACATGAAGTTAGTAGAAAGATAACTAGACTCTCGTTTGAAAATAAAGGATAATATATTTCTTAGAAAGATGAAGTCAATTATTCTGATCAACAAAAACCAGATAGTGCAAATGAACACGAAGTGATACCTAGTCTACATAGTATTCCAAAATTGTTTTTTTCTTATGTATTATTTAGAAATCTTCGCTTTCAACCGATGCACATGCCCAACAACAAGAAAGAGATAACGCTAATGAAGTATGTATATCTATATTTTTTTTGAAATGATTCAAGAGAATTTAATTTTCGTAGGATAATTATGATGATTTGACTGAAGAAGAAAAACAACAACAAGAACGCGCTGCTACATCCATTCAAGTCAGTTTTTATAATTTACTTTGTTTATAAGATCGATGCTTCTTTGTAGGCACAGTTTCGTGGATTTAAAACTAGACAAAATTTTCAGAAAATGAAGCAAGAAGTTTGTTAAAAATTACAAAAATCTCTTTTGAAAAGAGAAATTAATATATATTATTTTAGAAAGATGGAACGATTGATTCTGATCAACAGAACCTAGACTATGCAAATGAGCAATCAAAAACATATCACGATGAAGACCAAGTAATTTCTATTGAAAACTGAATTTGCAAATTGTTTTTATTGTCTTACATATCATTTAGAAATCCTCACTTTCAACCGATGCACATGCTCAACAACAAGAAAATAAAGCTGATGAAGTGAACATACTTATATTATTCTTGAATAGATTCAGTAATTTAAATTTCCGTAGGATAATTACGATGAACTTACCGAGGAAGAAAAACAACAACAAGAACGTGCTGCTGTGTCCATTCAAGTGAGTGATTTTATATACCTCGTTTATGTAATCGAGGCGTTTTTCTAGGCACAGTTTCGTGGATTTAAAACAAGACAAAATTTTCAAAAAATGAAACAAGAAGTTTGTTAAAAGAATACTAGAATTTCTTTTAAAAAGAGAAATTAATATATCGTGTAGAAAGATGGAATCGTGGATTCTGATCAACAGAACCAAGACTATGCAAACCAACAATCAAAGACTCATCACGATGAAGACCAAGTAATTTCTAGACGAAATAGACTTTGAACATTATTTTTATTTTCTTATTTATCATTTAGCAATCTTCACTTCCAACCGGTGCAGATACTGAACAGCAAGAAAATAAAGCTGATGAAGTAAATATATTTATACCGTTTTTTAAATAGCTCAAGAAAATTTAATTTTCGTAGGATAATTTTGATAATCTTACTGAAGAAGAAAAACAACAACAAGAACGTGCTGCTACTTCCATTCAAGTCAGTTTTTTTATTTGTTTGCTTCGTTTATGTGATCAATGTTATTTTCGTAGGCACAATTTCGTGGGTTTAAAACAAGACAAAATTTTCAAAAAATGAAGCAAGAGGTTTGTTAAAAGAATAACTAGAATTCTATTTCAAAACAGAAATTAATATATCTTTTAGAAAGATGAAGTTATTCATTCCGATCAACAAAAAGTAGACTATGCAAATGAACAATCAAAAACAGACAATGATGAGGACCAAGTAATTTCTACTCAAAATCGAATTCGAAAGTTTTTTATTCTTATATGTTATTTAGAAACCGTCATCTACAGCCGGTGCACATTCACAACAACAAGAAAATAAAGCTACTGAAGTAAATCAAGATATACAGTAATCGCCATAAGTGGACTCGACGTTTTTTTTTCTACTGAACAATGACCTTCCTTCGATCTTTTTGCTTTGCTTAAAAGGACTACTGATGCTCATCATCGCCTTGAAATAAGAGCATTTATATTTTTATTGCTACGAATTTAAGATTTAATAAAATAATAAACATTATTTCAAGAAAAAATAAAAAATCGCCTTTTTATTATACAAAACAAAAATGTCGCGTCGATTTATGGCAATAACTGTCTATAGACGTTTATTGTATAGATTCGGAAAATAATTTTGTTTTAAGGATTTTACTGATAAACTTACTGACGAAGAAAAACAAGAACAAGAACGTGCTGCTAGATCTATTCAAGTATTTGTTTTTATTCACTTTGTCTATGTGATGAATACCATTTCCATAGGCACAATTCCGTGGATATCAAGTCAGAAAAAACTTACGAGAACCGACTATTGATATAAATGTACAAAAAGAGGTATCTATCTAGCATTGTTGATTTCTTTGAGATTTATTAATTTGAAATACGAGGAAATTTTGACATACAAATCGTATATGTATATATGCAGAAATAATCATTATTACATTAATACGATTTCGATAAAGATAATGTAAGTTAATGCATAATGAATTGAAAAATTTATCTGTTTTTCTATGATTTGATTAATTGTTATTCTAATAAATTCATGCTACTTTTATTTTTAGAAATTTGACAATAATTACGATAGAACAGCAACTGATGTCAGTGGACGTCATAATCTTGATGAAAAGTTAATAACACCTGGTGAGTATATGTATAATTTACTTTATACAATTCTTCTTTTCTTGAGAAAAATGATAGTTGTTGTCGTCTTATTTTCTTATTTTTTCGTATGACCATGATAAAGTACCGTATTTATACATAAAGAAACAGTTCATTACTATCAAGTGCGTGGGTATAGTTTTTCCCTGCTGTTGTTTCTGAAGAAGAAGAAGAAGAGCGTCGCCCACCGATGATATATGGATAGGGAAACATTGCAAGCAGCCTAACAGCATAGCTTTATTGATAGGAGAAAGGAAGGAAGAAAAAAAGAAGGATATCAGCAGGATAAAGCTACAACGGATGTTGTTTATATTCTTTGCATTCAATAGACAGATAGATAGACAGACATAAAAAAGAATCATCTCTTAAGAGAATTTATTGGACTACGTGTGTGTGTATACTTCTGTTCATATTTTAAAGACAAGCTGTTACTATAAGTAAGTACGCATATAATCTTTATATATATTATAGAGGGAATACTTTAACTAATAATAGCATGTAATATTATAAAATGAATTGTTTTTAAATTTGTAATCAATTGAAAAAAAAAATGATTATTTATTTAATATAAATGACTTTTCTATATGTTTACTTTTGTCATTATCGTATTTAAGGTATCTCTTTTTAATTTTTGTCTAATGATCTTTATTGTACCATTTCTTTCCACTTGATTGTTTAGAACGTGTCCATGCGTTTTGTATTACGCTAATCTTTTGTCATCAAGGCAATTACATATGATGCAGAAATGCTTTCATTCTTTCCACCAATATTGAGACATCATTAGTTGCACTAGAAGAAGAAGAAAAAATGAGAGAGAAAGAGAAGAACAAGAAAAATGCTATACATAATTCTTTGTCTGTATAAATGTCTGTCAAAGAAATGGTTTTTTAGGGTTTGATCATCGACGTCATACATACTGTGTTAAAAACACTAGACTATATCTGACATTCGGTTTGTTGTTAAAGAAAATGTGTCTATAATACAGAAGATATTGTTGGCATTTAATGGTATTACTTTGCAGGTTTATATAGTTGATGATCGATCAGATGAGTTCGATCTATGCATCTTAGATAGGAAAGCTTCAAGAGGTTAGATATGACGTCGTCACAAATCAAATTATATGCCTACAAGTAGTAATAGAAAGGTCACTATCTATAGCATAAAAAAGAATTAATCAACCACCATCACAAAGAAATAAACACAAAATAATTCTTTGACATACATATGTAGATATAGAACCACAAAAAAAAAATAAGTATACATGAAAATAATAGATGTTCTTGATTATTGACAGATATGAATAGTTGTTTTTGCCTTTTAATTAGTCGTTTTATTTGCAGAGAAAAAGAACGACGATCGTGATCGTCTACATTCTGAACTGGAAGAAGAAACACAATTCAGTAAAGATTTTGCAAAACATACACAATTATCATTTGATTCAAATTATTTTCAAGAACAACAAAACGAATTTTATAATAACGACCAAGACGATATGAGTGATCCAAATCTTGATAAAGCAGCTACACGTATTCAAGCATCATATCGTGGTTATAAAACTCGAAAAGAATTAGGTACACCCGGTGGTAATTCAATTACTGGACAAGATCAAATTCATCCATCATCAAATTCTCCCAAAATACATGATGAATATGGTAATACTCGTAATAAAAATAGTATGATTATTATTCAATAATCTGTATATTATTTTTATTGTTCTCATTTAGTTTTATCACCATCGGCTGAAGGTAATAAAGTACTAGTAGGTGAAGATGATGATAGTGCAGCAGCTGCTGTTAAAATCCAGGTAATAATAAATAATGTACTTTTTTACTATATAAAAGTTCTCTATCTGATTTAGGCTGCTTATCGTGGTTATCGAGTTCGAAAAGATCTAGAAAAATAGAATTATTTCTACTAAGATACATTAAATGATGAAAGTGATTCCACTCATTGAAAAGACAACATTATATATTTGATTTCTTTTTTTTTCCTTTATTTTGTTTTTTCTTTTCTAATCTCATACAAAAAAAAAACTTTATAATGTTATTAAATTATACATCTATTTGACTTTAATTTTACAAAAAAAAACAACACTAATGCTTTAGTATATGTATATGTAATATATGTGAGTTTCACTTGTGCTTCCGCGTTTTTTTTAATCTCTTTTCTTCTTCTTCTTCTTTTTCTTTCTTTTGCCATTTCACAAGTGGTTTACTACATGAAAAATAATCTTAAATACAAAAAATTTTTAAAAGCATGGTAGATATACATCTACAGATGATGATAATAAGAAGATGCACACTAATGGATGACCATAAACAGCAATGTTTATAAATGATTCGTAGACGTAAAGTTTACTTTTCTACTTAACAATTAAGCTGTACATGTCTGGCATTTCTTATAAGATATATATATATGTATGGTATCTTTCTTTCGTCGAAGACTGTAACTGCGTTTCTGCTTTTAATGATGCAAGATTTATTAAAATTCCAGACCATGTTTATGACACTATTTATATTGAGGAACATCGTTTTCTTGCATGATAAAAAATCATGATTATTAACACTAATCAATTTTTTTTTGAGCGGATGATTTATTTGCAATCGAAGGAAATCAAAATTAATTTTTCTGTTTTACTAGAAGATTCAATCGATATTTCTAATTTATTATTAAATCTAATCACATTATATATTTATTAAAAACTTGTAGAAAAACGAATGTAATCCGTTGAATTCTAATACATGACACAAATGTCAATATGACATGTATAAAATTAACTGTGTTCAAATATACTTTAATATTATAATTCTATACTCTAAACTACTATCAAACGAGAAAAAAATATCAATCTTTTTTATTCTACATTATTTGTAGAAGATTCAATGATAGTAGTTGTGAATATTTTAAATAATATTATAAGCAGATATAATTGTAATTAACAGCATCAATAGTTTGCATCGAAAAAAGAAAAGACTAATTTTGTTTGTCATTAGTAGAAAAAAGTTCTTTATTCAACTGCAAGTATTACCAGCAATTTATCATTTTTTATATTCATCTATTAACACTTTTTATTTCGTTATTATTATATATTGCACAAAATTATTTATGAAAATCCAATGAACAAGTAGAACTATTGATATTCATTCGACAGAAAAAAGAGATTCAATACATTTGTAATGTAATAATAGAAGCCTATCGATTTCCTTTAGTTTCTATTGTTAATTCAATTTATTTATATGATTACTCTATCGTACTCTTATTACTTATTCACCTGTTTTGAATAAAGAATTTGTAACAAAAAGAAAACAGTTGGTAAGTATAATATTAGAGATTCGAATAATTTCATTACGTTTGAACTATACAATAAGATGATGAAAAGGAAGTAGTATATTTTTGCTAGAGGGTTGAACTAATAAGAGAATACATGGATACTTTTTTTTAAAGAAGTATGATGCAATCGTGAGAGTTAAATTTGGAATGATTTATTCGAATTTGCTAATCGACATTCAGGGTCAAAGTGACTGATAACCCTATAGGATCTTTTTTTTACATATACTATCGAGGTTTCAATCTTGAGAAAAGTCATTAGTTCAAGATAAATAGTGCTTCTTCAAAAATAACTTCTTTTTTGTTATTAAGCATCAACAACGATAGTTGATAATATTAGTTACACATACTTCGATGTATTATAACTAATAGAAATTTTTGTTAAGTCGATCTATTCAGTACTATTGCATTTGAACTATATTATATGACATTTCTTTCTTTCTAACGCTCATTAAAACTAAAAAGCCATAGATTTTTAATGTATTGTATCTCATATTCATATAAAGTTGGTATAGATACAGCGATAAACATTCATATTGACAACTATAATAATGTATGATACGCATTAAATATGAAGCTGTCAAATAGACTAGATATTTCTTTTCCTATTCGATTGTAGTCATAAAGATACGTAAAGTATATGACTTCGATTAAATACATATCTCTGATTTATGTTTGTTAGAATTATTTTAACTATCTTTATAATATTCACTACAACTTATCGAAGTACTATTACGAATTTATTTCAATAGTTAAAGAAAAGAATAATAACTGATCAGGCTAATTTTTATTATGCTGCATGAGAGCTCAAATTTTATGAAGATATGATATTTTTGATCAATAAGATGACTTCTCTATATTTATAAACAAAAGATATAGTAACCATTGAAGAAAAACAACGATTACTGTTTCCTAAAACATATTCTCATATTTCTCGTCTATATCTATAAATATATTTGATATCAGACGCCGGTCGAATGATAGTCATAAAATCAATAGAATTACTAATAAATTTAACTATACGATGACTCATAAAAATTGTATTCAATGTCATACATCGTCAAACACTATGATTTTAATGAAGAAGTGAAATATAAGAGATGATAATTCATTTTTTTTGAAAGTAAAAATTAATTTTACCGATTAACAACGACCTCTATGAATCATTACTCTGGTTACTTGTCCGTTTAGTATTACTTCATCGAGGTTTCTTCAAGGTTGGATGATTGAGAAGAAACAGAACAGATAGACATGCAAGTTTAATTTAAATTTTACGAGCATTCTTCTTCTATTCTTCTCATATAATCAGATCATGTTTCGTTTGCATCATAATTCTTCTGCTTCTATATGTCTTTAGCTCTCAAAAATGTATATAAACAAATTTCATAGTCTAATCGACCTTGCATTCAATTCAATCTAATGCATATTCATTAATAATATTACTATTGAATACTTTCAATTCATTCGACATTTATCATGCCATCATCAGAACAACAACAACAACATCATATATTTCGTCATGATTTAATATCAACACCATCACCATTATTTCCTACAAATTCACATAAATCAATTCTAACAATATCACCAGAACAGATCCATTTATCAACATCAACTATTATTACACTTGCTTGGAATATTTATGATAATGTTATAACATCACATGATACAATTGGTATATTTCTACCAGGTAAATAATATATATATATCAATAAAACAACAAAATAACTTATTTTTTTTTATTTAGATAAATTGACATTAGATGATGTGATTGAAAATATTTATACAAATTTAAATGCTCTTAAAATTGGCCAATATCATTGGCATTGTACACAAACATTAATAAATAAATTAGTGAATTGTATGTTTTATAATAAGTAGACAGAAAAAAAATTTCGCATATATTTATTTAGTTGATACTGTTTGTTTTCAATATTATAATTCAATAAATGGTGAAATTAAAGCTCAATCATCTTTTATACCTCTTATTCATGATAATAATCATATACCATCTATTGATAATATGACACGACCTATATCCATAAAAATCTATGGTAAAATATATATTATTTTATTTTTATCTGTATATTTAAATTTTATTTAGATCTTCATGCAACCAACTTACAGCGTGGAGTATTTTTTAAACCAGATCCATATATAAAAGTTTCATTAATAGCTGGTCGTCTTCATAAACAATTACGAATATCATCTCATTTCTATAATCAAGAAAAGCGAACAAATGTGATACCAAATACAGTAAATAAATTTCATATACAAAAAAAGAAAGAAATAGATATATATGTATTTGTTTTTTCTTTAATATCAAGTGTCATCCAAAATGGTACAATCAATCATTTACATTTCAAACATTTCATACAGATTTATTAGAATTTGAAGTTAAAGATAAATTTGTTAAAACACGACCAACAATGAATCGTTTTCTTGGAAAATTAACTGTTCATATCGGATATTTACTTGATAAATTAAATAAAAAGTAGAATATTATTTTTTCTTATGAGTTTAAAATTATTTTTTTTTGTATTTTAGTACATCAACATTTGTATTTAATCTTCAACGACGTAATTATTCAGATCATGTTAGTGGATGTTTAATGTTTAATGCTGCATTTATTCGAGGTTTAATTTAATATTGAAATATTGAATTTTTTTTTAAGTAATAAATTTTCTAGGTGAATCATCACCTACGATACCAAGACCAGTAACAACGGATCGAACTCCAATACCAAATACAGTTGAAACAGAACCAGAAGTTATTATAAATAACGGTAATAAATACTTTCGAGTTTATCCTTAGGCAGGATTTATTTTTCATCGAGAAATATATTCTTAAAAGATTATAGATAATTATTATTTGCATCTATAAGATAATGATTTAAAATTTTATTTAGATAATAATCTTCCATTGATTACTGACAATGAACAAACAATAACTGAAGTTTTATTAGAAGAAAATGTATGTTAATATTTAGTTTTTTTTTATTTATTATAAGTGTTAATTCTATTTTCTTCGTGTTAGAATACATATGATCAAATAGTTACTCCAACATCTTCTCCATCAAATGAACAACTATTGAATTCTTCATCAACAGCAATCATTGACGAATCATTATCACTATCTTTAGATAATACTATTAGAGGTATAAACAATTTCTATTGATCTCCTGTGGAGACCTTCAATTTTTCCTATGTGGACGTCGTCTAATCGCCTTGGGAGACTGATGTTACTCTATATATGATTATGCAAGATGATGGAAGAGGAGGGATGAGATGAGTCTGAAGTGTTGACAGTCGTCGTAGACGAGGTTATTTATCTCTCTTTTTCTTTCTTATATACATTTATGCTTATACGTGAACATGCATTAGATGCAATGATGCCATTTAATGGAAAAAGAAAGCGTACATGTTATGGATCAGATTGATCTTTTTTCTTTTCTTCTGTTCCTTTCAATAAGATGTTATTGTCATTGACGATATTACTAGTTGTTCATATTCTTTCATATCTTTATGTATATATCTAGACGATGGAATAACGACTGATGCTAATCATATGTTGTTGAATATTGCTTCCAATCAACCAATAATAACTACTAGTACTACAACTACTACTACTGTACCAACACATTGTTCTGTAACATCATCATACCAAGGACATAATGAAGAACATGAAGAAGAAATAAACGAGAACAACATCGATGACAATCAACAACGACAAGAAGTAGAAGCAGCAGCAGCAGAAGAAGAAGAAGGCGAGAAAGAAGACGCGTCGTCTCATAATTGCGACGTCGGATCAAGTAATACCGTTGTTCTTTCATCGACAAAAAAGAAACTGAAACATTGCTATTCATCATCGACCTTACTCCCACCACTCATCCCACGTTCGTCAAGTACAATAACAACAACTGCAATGATTCGACAACATCATCATGCACGTCATGATGCCTATCGAACATTACAATTACCTGTTAGTTCAACAAATAAAATGTTAATTGTTAAACCTAATGGTCAACATCAATTGAAAATAACAACTACAACTGGATCAGAAAATAATTTACAAACAACTGGAAATCATATTCATACTTCAGTATATAATCATCAGAATATTAACAACAGTTGTTTCAATGATGATAGTGTTCGAACATTATCAAGAGGTAAATTGATATTCATAGACATATTTTTTTTTAAATATTAACCTTGAACATTTTCTAATAGTGTTATCAAATAGATAGTAGAAAAAAATTAATTATAGTAATCTCTAGTTACAATCATGATTTAAGTTTAATATTCTTTAAGGAAAAACCAAATGAGATTGTTCTTTCTTTTTTTGTTACTTAAGTAAATTCTTTGTTATATCCATTTCTTGATTAGCTCTTAGATCAATCAGTGTCTTCATTGTATAGTATGGATGAATGGTATTACGTCGTTCATATGAAATGGCACCTATTGTTCTTGCTCGTTCGCTCTTTCGCTCCCTTATTGCCTCTTTTATTTCTAAGAGGAAAATGATCTTTCCTTTGTGCTCTTTCGACTGGATGTGTTTGTCAGTCAACCAACCGCTCAATGATTAAACACAAATCAAACGTAGTGGAGTATGATTTTCCTTTTTTTTTTTTATTTCTTTCTTATATGTATTATGTAATAATACTACTAACTCCTTTGAAAAGAACGGTAATGTTCTTAGTCATAATGATTTTTTTTATGATTGCTCCCCGTTTCTCAAATGAACAATTTGTAAGCAATATGCACTCAGACATTTGTAGATCAATAAATTGATCCTTGACCAATTCCTTTTTTTCCACCAAGAAAAGAAACAAAAGAATTTTGTGCATCAATATTTGTCCTCTTGCTGAATCATTCTACTACTAGTATTTTTATAGAGTTCAACAATCTGATGACATGTGCTAGTCTCATTGACCGATCTCTTTTTTTTCTCTCTCTCCCTCTTTTCTCTTATGTTCATTTTTCAATGGGTCATCTCTGTTTGTAGGTTTTTTTTTCTTCTTCTTCTTCTTCTGCTCTCTTCTACTTGCACTATTCATCAAATAGAGAACGAAAGAGAAAGATATTCAAATGTATAGACATCGGATGAGTAAAAATCATTATTGTTAGTAGGCGTATTCGTTCGAATGAAATGAGAGAATGATTGTGCTGTCTCAACAAATTTTAGACTATGCTAATGGTTTGTTAATTTTGTGTCTATCTTATTTTTTTTATTCTTTAATATTGTTTTAATAGAACTTCGTCAAGCAGCTCGAGATCTTCATCGTATTCAATCAAAATATGAACAAACAACTACAACATCATCATCAGATACAAATCATTCAAATACTACTATTAGTAATACAAATGGTTCATCAACAGAACAAACAAGGTATTTATTATTTTTGTAATTTTGTCGAAGTTCTTATCTTTCAATTTATATTTCAAGGAAATTAATTACACGCGAATTACAAGAATGGCATAAACAACAAGTATCAAAATATAAAAACTTACCTACAGAACCTCAAACAACAAATGAACGTATTCCATCACCAGTTATAGATCAACAAGAAACAGATACTATGATTTCAAGTATACTTCCATCGAATGAAAACTCAAGACTAATAGGTTCATCTTCATTTTTGATTAATGAAGAACCAACAATTATGACTACATCACTATCAATGACTAATACGAATGACATTTCAGTATATCAAGATATTCCACGGTTAGTTATTTACTAAAAATTTTTCTTCTACATTTAATACAAAATAAAAATTACTAGACAAGGATATTTGTGCGAACAAAGGTGTATAAACATATGGTTGATAACACCATATGGCAAACGACTAAAAGAATACCCAATAGACATTTCTGTTTTTTTTTCTCACAAGGTCAAAATTGTCTTTGGAGAAAATAGTTTATTGATCCTTGAGACTCTTTTATTAATTTCCTGTAGTTTAGAAAAAAATTGACTTTTGAGATTTTATTTAGAATAAATGATTCGGCATTTATGATGACATTGCCACGTAAACCAGTTACAATTGATACAAGAACAGTATCATCATCATTATCATCATCACCACCACCATCAGTAACAAATGATCATAATGATCCTCCATCACCATCTCTACTTAGTGCTTCGCCTCCTTTACCTACCGGATGGGAAACTCGAATCGATCAGTTCGGTCGTCCTTATTTTATTGATCATAATAATAAAACAACAACATGGCAACGTCCAACAATCATATCACAATTAACTGTTTCAACTCCTCGTCTTCCACTAGCTACTGTTGCAGTTGCTACTGTCCCTTCTACTACAACTACACTTACTATTCCTAGTAATTCATCTCCAACAATTGAACGTGAACGAATGGATAAACGTTATCAAAGTATTAGACGTACAACAACAAATCGTACAACAAGTTCATCTGTTAATGATTCATCTAATATTCTTTCTCCTGATAATAGTAATTTAAATCATCCAAATAATGATATTTCATCATCTTCTTCATCGTCATCATCGGTTTCATCAGCAACACAAACATCTGATGAATATATTCGATCAACTCCAGCTTTAAGATTTATTTGTCGATCTGATTTTTATCAATTTTTTAAAACACATCGTGAAGCACGTCAGATGACAAAATCAGATTCATTAGCCGGTATTCTACAACGTATTCGTCATGATCCATTGTTATTTAAAAGATATCAACATAATAAAGAACTTGTACGTTTTCTTAATTTATTTGCTGATTCAAAACGAATATTACCATCTCGTTGGGATATTAAACATGATGATAGTGGAAAAGTATTTTTTGTTGATCATAATACACGTTCAACAACTTATATTGATCCACGTTTACCAGTTGATGATGAACAACCACAACAACAACAAGCAATTGCTGCTATTGCATTACCAATATCAAGTAGAATCGAAGAAAACTCTTCAACAGCAGCAGCAGCATCATCATCATCAGCAGCAACAGCTCGAACAAATAAAAAACAACAAGAACTTATTCAATTAACTTATAACGAAAAAGTTGTAGCATTTATGCGACAATCAAATATATTTGAATTACTTAAAGCAAATCAGGTATATTGATTTATTTCATTTGATGAATAAGTAAAAAACTAATTCTTCTTTTCATCATATAGCTCGTACCATTAACTAGTAAACTACGTGAAAAAGTTCAATTAATTCGTGTTGAAGGTGTTAGAGCACTTGACACATTATCAAATTCTGTAGATTTAAGTCTTCTTATTAGTGTCTTTCATGAAGATATTATGTCTTATGTTCCAACATTAACGCAATCAAATATCGTTACAACATCACAATCAGTTTCATCATTTATTTCACCACCACCAGCAGTATCATCATCATTATCATTATCATCATCATCCACATTTGTTGTTGAACATGGAAAATCTGCATCATCTCGTCGTACATCAAATCAACAATCAACAACATCAGCATCATCTTCGTCGTCACGTCGACCATGTTTTCAACAGAAATTACGTGCTTTCTATAAAAAACTTGATTCAAAAGGCTATGCAACAGGTCCAGCTAAAACAAAAGTATCTATATCAAGAAATAATCTTCTATCGGATGCATTTGAAAAATTTATGAATCAAATACCTAAAAAAGATCTACAACGAAATAAATTATTTATTACATTTACGGGTGAAGAAGGTCTTGATTATGGTGGACCATCAAGAGAATTTTTTTTACTTATGTCAAGGCAATTTTTTAATCCATATTATGGTTTTTTTGAATATTCAGCCAGTGATCAATATACATTACAAATTAGTCCAATGTCAAAATTTAATGATAATTATACAGAATGGATGCGTTTTGGTGGGCGAATGCTCGGTATGAATCCCTTTTTCACAAGGATAATTTCTATCATATTTATTACGAGATAAACTATTCATAAAAATGCATTTTTTTAAAATATGCAGTAGATTATTCTAGACATTGAATTTAATGAAAAACTACTCTTGCCTAAAAGTAATCGATAATAACATTATAGGATGTAGACGTGCTGAAGGACTGTTATAATCTTGATATTCGAAATTAATGCAACGAACTGTAGAAGGTCGTAAATATTTATCTGAAGAAACGTTTAACTACTTGGAAGACTTACTTCATTAGTCATACGTGAAATAGAATAAGTTAATCTTTTTCTTTCTCACGAATCGTAACATAAATAAACATACAAGTTAGAATAGAGAGCTTCTCAAATAAAGTAAAATTGATTATATGTCATGATATAGAATAAATGAAAATCTTTAATGTTTAACAAAATTCATGTAAAACACATTTTTATACTTGAACTAGATAAAAGCTAACCTTTAATTTGACATAAAAAAACACACAATTTCGATACCTTATTAATCAATATAACAAACTTTGCAAAAGTGGTATCTGTTGATATCATCAAACAAGAAAGGTTAACAGATACTGATAATGACACAATAGAATTAGCTTTATTTTCTCCTTGTAAAACATGACAGACTGTGTCTACTAGTCAAAATTAGTAACACATATGTATATTTGGCAATGATATTTGTCCTTCAAGACAAAAAAAGTTCTAATCAGAATCTAAAATATTGACTTTTTTTGTTATTTCTAAACAATCGATTTTTTCAATTTTATTATTTCTAGCTGTGGCATTGATAAATCAATATCTTGTTGATGCATTTCTTGTTCGTCCATTATATAAAGCTTTATTACGTGAACATCAAACATTTACATTAGCTGATTTAGAATCTCTTGATCCGGAATTTTATCAATCATTATTATGGATAAAAGAAAATAATGTTGAAAATCAAGATCTATATTTTTATGTTAATGAAGATCAATGTGGTAAAATAATTGAAAAAGAATTAAAACCTGATGGAAAAAATTGTCAAGTTACAGAACGTAATAAACGTGAATTTCTTGATTTAATTATAAAATGGCGTATTGAACGTGGTGTACAAGAACAAATCGATTATTTTGTACGTGGATTTTATGAAATAATTGGTGATCATAAATTAATTTCATCAATGTTTGATGCACGAGAATTAGAATTAGCTTTATGTGGTACAATGGAAATTGATTTAAATGATTGGCGTTTAAATACAGAATATCGTGGTGGTTATCATAGTCAACATCATGTTATTGAATGGTTTTGGTTTTGTGTTGAAAAACGTTTTGATAATGAACAACGTTTAAAATTATTACAATTTGTTACTGGTACATCATCAATACCTTATGAAGGCTTTTCAGCATTACGTGGATCAAATGGACCAAGACGTTTTTGTATTGAACGTTGGGGAATATCAGATGCATTACCACGTGCACATACATGTTTCAATCGTTTAGATTTACCATCATATACATCTTATGAAATCTTATACAATAAATTATTATTAGCAATTGAAGAAACAAATACATTTGGTATCCAATAATTGATATTCAATTAATTATCTCTATGCCTTTCTCTTTTCTTTGTGATGCTGGTCATCGATCAAGACAAAAAAAAATGTTCTGTTTTTTTTTTGTTTGATTGTTTTCTTGTTTTCTTTTTGGTTTTTTTTCAGTAGTCATTTTGCTCATACAGTGGCATTATTGTATATAACGACGATGAGACAATATAGATATATATATATAAACGACAAATTTTTCTTGTTTGTTTGTTCATGGCCTTTTTTTTTCTTTTGTAATTTAATATATATGCATGCCTTGCCTATGTACGTTCTTCTCTACATATAACTAATTATTATCTATATGATATTATGACATGGCTAACTGTGTCACAGAGACACAATCTGATATGTTTCTACTATGAACTTTTTGCCTCGATTGGATATTCTCGAATAATTGAGATATATCGTTCTGTAAATTAAATTTTAATGATTATTGAAACAAAATCCAAAAAGGATTAATAATGAAGAAGAGGAGAAATTAAGAAATAATCATGGCAAAAAAGAAAAACTAGATATATGGCGTGACAGTTGAGAACAAGAGTCAGATTTTTTTCTTCTTATAATATGCAAACGAATAAAAAATAATAAGTGTAACCACTAGCTCAACATCTATACATTCATTATTTCCTCTTGATAAGAACATCAAAAGAACAACCAACTATCTATACAATTCCAGCACGAACAACAGTAGTCACGTATATACATTCATAATGATCTCAAATTTCCAGATACTGTTCATTGCTGGTAGGTAATACTGTTTATGTTTTTTTCCATTCAACTTTTTACATTTAGTAATGTGCCTTCTTGTAACACCATATGTCTATACATCGATTACTGTTGATGATCAATACATACCATCAAATGATTTAGATACTTATGGTATGCAAGAACATGATGTCAATAATAATCAAATCATTACGTCAAGACGAGCAGCTCATTTTATATTTCCACCTACAGATTTCATATCTCCATCAAGTCAATCGATTTCTTATCTAGATGTTATACCAACAAAACGACAATCATTTGGTCGAAAACATCATTGGGATGCATTTTTTGGTCGACGTCGTTAAAAATACATATATAGAATTCTTTCTAGTTTGTTTCAACTTAATAAATACGATTTAAATTGCGAATACTATTACTTTTTTTTTCTTTAGTATTAAAACAAAAAAAAACGAGAGAGAGAGAATAAATAAACATGCAATTCAATAATATATTGGAAGGAAATCTTTTTAATTATAAATATTTTGCTTGTTTTTCATTTTGTCGTTGTTGTAGACAACGATGTATATATTCTAAAGAATCAACAAATATTTCAATTGTTTGATAGTTACATGCAAAACATGCATGATAAAGTTGTGACATGAGATCTGTATTAATTGATTGTAGAAAATAATCAAGTTCAGATAAATTTGAACGTAAAATTTCTTTTAATACACGTGTATTAATTTGAAATGATGATGATGGATTACGAATGATTGTTAAAAGTTGTTCAAGATTTGATATTGCTGAACGATTTAATTCATATTCAAATGATGTTGGAATTTTATCATTAACTAATTGTGCATAATAAATAAATAGACGTGAATTATAAATATTTGATGTTTTTAATAAACGAATTATATTCATTTCATGTATACCTAAATAACAAAAAAAATTAGTGTCTACGTTCATTTTTAATTGGATAGATGATATTTCATTTCTTACCTGTAATACGAATATCATCGACAAATAATAAAAATTTATTTCCAAAGTCTTGACAATCTATAGAATATCGTTCATCAATTAAACGATCTAAACGTTCATGTCTTGATAATAACGAATAATCTTCTGCAATAGTACCAATACGTTGAATTGTATGTTCAATTATTGGTTCACATTTATTTAATTGTAAAAAACGATTTAATTTTTCTAAAAATGTTTGAAATATATAATAAACAGCTGGTGGTATTGTACTACGTGGAGATGATATAGCTATAAATTGTTGATTAGATGAGAGAAGAAAATCTCGATATCTATCGAGAAAACCTGTATATAATTCTTGTCCAAATTGCTTGGCTTGATTACTATCACCATATTTGTAACGTGAATAAGCATATCGATCAAATGATAAATTTTTTGGATCATTGATTGTATGAAGTGCGAAACGTTGTTCGTCATCGATCATTATAGTTATTTTCTGTGATATTTTTAATTATTAACGGTGAATATATCGAGTTCAATGCTATTTTATGGTTGCTCAAAATAGGGGGAGAGTAAGCGAAAGAGAGAGAGAAAACAAGAAAATAAAATGACGGCGACGATGATGCAGTTTATGCTAGATTTCTTTAATTTTTTTTTATTATTTCTTTCAGTCAGACCTGAAGTTCCCGTGCTTTTAATACCGTAATAATGCGAACATTAGTAAAAATCTGTATTACGGAGTTATTTATAGATATCTAAGTATTTTAACATGCGTATAATTCGGTACACTTAACATATATACTAATAAAAAATATAGTATTTCCAATTATATTGTAATAGAACAAAAAAAAAGAGAAATATAACGGCTAGTATCCTATGCTGATTTTCCAGTCTTTAAAAAAAGACGTCGTATAAGCATCGGTGTTTTTCTCGTTTTTTTTATTTTCTTAAAAGTTTCTGTCATTTATAATCATACGAGTTTTTATGTCGTATGTAACGACTATTCTCAAATACAAATAATAACAAAACGAACTAATATTTTATATATAGATGATTAGATCATTGTTGTTAGTTCATTTATGATTTCTTCATTGATGTTAGGTAAATTTTATCTATGTAGAACAACTCATAAACTATTGATGTATTTCCATACTGAATAATAGATAAATTGATTAAAAAGAATTGTTTCATCTAGATGTATTCTTACAGAAGTTTCATACACATTAATATCTTCACTTTTGTTTTATGTAAAGAAATAAAATAATTATTTATTAGATTTATATTCATAACACGTTTTTAATAAAGTAAAATATGATCATCACACGTATTTATATGATTCATAAATTGTCATAGTCTAGGCATTATATTTAGATAAAAAGAAAATTTTCCTTTAATTCTATAGAATATATATTTTTTTTAAAAAAAAAGCACTAAAACATTTTCCAAATCAATTATTTATTAGTATGTCATGAAAATATGTCAAAATCCTTTTTTCTTTAAAAATTTGATTAATTTAAAACAGACATTTCTAACATGCGTAATTCCTTATTTCAAGCCTTGATTAATCTTGCAAAATAATAGGTTATAATAATGAAGTCAAATTAATGAATGTATTCAATTAACAAACATAGAAAATTAGAGAATAATTATGATAAGAGAAAAAAAATGTTCTTAAAATGAACTTTCACTTCTATTTTCAAATTATTCATCTAAACTGACAAAAACAGATTTTCCACATGAGTAATAATTATCAGTTGATCTTATATAATAGAGTATTATTCATATATATATGTATATCAAATATCAGAGCAACTAAGAAAAACAATATGCAATTCGTTTAATAGTATCAATTCTCGGGACTGTTCAAATGACACGTTTGCACGTAGTTGTCATTATTAATATCACGAAAAGTCATCATATATATTAGTGTTTTTCCATAATATTTAATATATGCAAATGATATCATTGTACAAATGAGAAAATTGTTTTCCTTTTTTCTTTTTTATTAATATTGTCATTATAAATTTATGATTCATCATTCATGTTTTTCTAACAAAGTATACGTGGATAAATACGACGCATGCGACCAATTCGTACGCCTTTATTTGGACTAACAGTAAGAAGAGTACCAGCACGTAAACCTGAATTAATTGTAAACATTGTACGATTTCGTATTACAGCTTCAGATATATTATTTGGAAATGTATAATGTTTAAGTATATGATCAATGATTTGTTGAGAACTAATACCAGATTTGTCTTTATCTAATTGACATATAGCTTCACGAACCATATTACCAAATGCATGACGAATAATATGATAAACTGGTACTTGATTTTTATTTGAATTTGGATTGAATTTTGGTACAAATTGAGCAGCACATGTTTCAGCACCATTTTTTCCTACTTTACGAGGATGTTTTCCTTTTGTTGTTCTAGTTGATTTTGCTCTACTCTTCGTATCAGTTTTACGAGTTTTACTACCACTCTTTGTTCTATTTGATAATGATTTTGATGCTGAACGAACACCTGAAGTTGCTGTCTAAAATGAAAGATATCTTAAAGAAATAATTCCTTGATTTTATCATAGAAGTCAAACCTTTCTTTTCGTGCCTGATTTTGCTGGTTCTGTTCTGTTCGATTTTTTATGAGATTTTGAACTCTTGCTACCAGAACGAATACTTGAAGTACCACCAGCTGCTCGGCTCTTACTACGTCCTTTTGACTTAGATTTACTGCTGGATTTTGTATGCATATCTGATTGAAAAAATAAATCTCAAAAGAGTTTCAAAGAAAAGAAAAAATAATCTGTACCATGTGGTGTATCTGTGTTTGATGAGGAATGCTACAATAAATTTAAATTAAAGCTACTTTTTTCATAATAAAATAAACTATTTATCTTACTTTTAAACCAGTCTTTGATGTTGAACTCTTAGTACTTGTATCACTAGGATGTAACATGGATTGTGAAGTATTTGTTATGGGATAATGTGTACTCTTTGATTTTTTGCTACGAACCGACTAAATAATATAAAAATAAATTTATAAACTATCGAACTATTAGAATCGATATTACTGATTTTGAAGAAGATCGTTGCATTGTTCCAGATTTATTAGCTGTTTTTGAATTTGTACGAGTTCCACTAATACTACTAGTCTTAACACTTGTATGAGAAGGAGGTTTTTTACTATTTGATTTTAATGTGCTATGTTCAGACTAAAGATAATTCGACATATTTATATATCATATAAAAACAAATACTAACTGGATGTAAAGAAGAATGTTGATCGTTTGGTTTCAGTTGAGTTGACTAAACAATAGGAGAGATACATTCATTAATTTAAATTAAAAAAAAAGAATATCATAGAACTAACACTATCTGATGTTGGAGATTTTGATGATGATCGTTTCGCTGTACTTGACTTAGCACGTGATTTTGATTTTCTACTTTTAGTTTTTTTCGATGTTGCACCACTAGTTGAAGCTGGTCGCTTGCTTGATTTACTTTTTGAACGTATACCGCTAGCATTAGTTTTATTGCCTGTCGACCGAATACCACTAATACTTGATGATTTTGTTAAATTAGCAGCTTGTTTAATAAGATCTTGACAGAAACGTAATTTTTCTTCTTTGGTCATCCGCTCAAATTTAGCGGTATTCGTTGTCGTATTGGAAGACATTTACGCTGTTGTAGCGTGATACACAAGAAAAATAATCGTAATAATAAAATAAATCACTCGAACACAAACAATGAATTAAAGTAGAAAAAGAAATCGATGTTTTATACTAAAGATAAATTGTTGCTAGAGAAACGCGCCAGTTATTTATTTAGTTATTCATGGCGCTATTTATTTATTATTAAACTAACTAAAGTATTCAGAAAAATTTAAGTCATAAATTAGAAGTCATTCGTAGGCTTTGAACATTCGATTGTTAATGGAGATGGAACAGATGATTGAAGTTTTTTACGAGATACTTTAACACCAGATACATCTTCTCCTAAAATATGTATAAAACATAAGAAAAAAAAGTTGATTAATTATTGAACTACCTAATATTTTATGAGAATTTGTTGAAGATATTTCTTTAGTATTATCAACTATGCGTTTGTCGCCATTATTGATTTCACTTTCGTTAATGTTATTATTTATTGAGGATGATCGACGTTTACGTGTTCGATTTGGCAGAACTAAAAGAATATAGATTGTTATTATACAAATAATATTTTAACTAACCATGACTGATTTGTTCTTCATTATTATTTAATGAATTTAATTTTGAACTTCTTGTACATATAGTTCTTGTTATAATAGTTGGTGTTTTCTTCGTTTTATTATCTGTAGTTTGTTGTCGTGTTTTACGTTTTATTGTCATTGATATTTGAGATTCATTCACTGGCACATCTATTTGATTAGTATTAGTTTCATGATTATCAATACCAATGGTATGACATTGTCGTTCATTAAATGTATAGAAATCCGTGAATAGTTGTTTCAAACTTCTTCTCGATGAATTAGAAATACCAGACAATGACAACTGTTCTTTTAAATGATCACGTTCTGATCCTTTTAATTGATCGATCATTAATTTACCAAGTAATTCAAGACGAGAAGTTGTATTCACTATTTACAGATTGTAAATATTTTATTTTTCAAGACAACAATTAAAAGAAATTATTACTTGATCTTTGATCACATGCATTCATATTTAATTGTGTTGATCGACCTGTTCGTGAAGCTGGTGTCTTATTTGCTCTGTTTTTGTTTGATTTATTTTGAGATCGACGTAGCATAAATGAAGATACAAGAAAATTAATATAAAATGAATTAATAATGAAATGAAGTTTTTTTTGTCGCTATAGATAATTCGTTTTAAAACAATTGATAGAAAACTTGTGTAAATTATAATACTATATTTGATTATAAAGATAGAGAATCAATAGAAAATATCACGTAAAATATAATTTACTTCTATGACACGTTTAGAATAACAGCTTTGATTACAACAAAAATTCCTTTGAGGTAACTATATTAAAAAAAACAGATTGTTTAAATGTTTGCCCGATCGCTAATTTGGATTGATAGTTTACTAATCTTAATTAATAGTGAGTTGATTATTGAAAACAACAAGAGACATGTTTTTTTTCTTCTTATTCTATTAGTAAATGAAGGGTATGCAAGAACATATGCTGATGAATTTTATGGACGAATAAGAGGAAGTAATCAAGCAACAAGTAAAAATGCAGGTGTTATTTTTCTAATAATATTTGGTTGTTTAGTTGGTGGATTTTTTATATGTTGTATTTGTGGTACACTTATTTTAGGATGCTTTGATAATAGAATTCGATATATGCAACGAAAACCTGTACGTTAAAATAAATATTTTACATATGAAATGTTAATGTATAAAGTGTTTGTATGTTCTTTTGATGTGTATACATGTCATTGAATGAAATATATGTTTATCTTTTATGTTAATTAAGAATAAAAGAACACATTGCTTATGTATCAATTAATGTATTTCTATTTGACACCATTTCTTCTTTAGTTGTAATAGAAGTTGTAAACTAGTTACAAAATAAATGAGTATTTAAAGAGAATGTTATTTTGTCAATCGTCACAAATCATTTTTATTTTCTATCGATTAATACACAATTATTTACAATAATGATGAATCTTAACAATTCTACATTTTTTCCATTGGTAAGTTAATAACATTAAATATTTCATTTCATTTCTATTCTATTTTTCATTTAGTTTCCTTTACCATCACCATCACCTTCATTATGTTCACAATCATTTTGTAATTATTGTCCATCAACCTCATTATTTTCTTCTTCACCTATGGTAAGAAAATAATTCATTTTATTTTTTTAATTAATATATCTATGTTAATAGTATCAAACATCATTTATGTCGGATATTCCATTAATTATTACTCCAAGTCCTGCATCATCATATGTAAGTTATTTACTTATATATATATATTTATAATTCTTTATCTTTTTTCAGATTTCAACTTCTCCAACACCATCATCAAATTCAGATAATCGTTCATCAGCTATGTTACCAGTTCGTTCATCATCATTTGATTTATCATCATTAATTGTAAAAGCTCGTTATCGTCGTGAAAATTTTGGCGAATATCTTGAATGTGCATTTTGTAAAACAAACGGCGAAACTTATGATGTTTATTCTTCACATCGTCTTCGTGATAATGAAAAAATGATAACTGTTTGTCCAATTCTTCGTGCTCATAAATGTCCACGTTGTCATTTATCTGGTGATCAAGCACATACAATGAAATATTGTCCAATTAAAGCTGAAATTAAAGCAAATCGACGTATGCGTGAAATTGAATTAGCTATGAAAAAAAATTAATCTTTTTCTTTTTTTTGTTTATTTATAATTGTAAATAATTTTGTATTGTATTTATTCAGGAATATATATTTATTCTGTTAGTTATTCATAATTAATTAATTAATAAAATTTGAAAGTATGAATTGTAAATAATCTTTTATACATAGAAAAAAATGAGCTTAGATCATAATATAAAATGTGTTCTAGTCAATAGTTCATCTTGCTATTGTAACCTTTTCCATAGATACATATATGTATTTTATTTTCTGCTCATTTGCAAGTTAACTAAGTATAACGGTATGAACCTTTCAAATCTTTTTATTTCGTCATGGAATTATATCTATTGTATAGACTATCTAAATCATATTTCTGAATCGTTTAAATGGAAAGGTATTGCTCTTTTTTTATTGATGTGTATCATTGTATTCATTACTGTTGTAATTCATCCATGAAAATAATTTCTATCAAAAAGCATACAAGTAGTGATTTTTTCAATGTCTATTTTATTAAGTACAACAAATAAAATAAGTCAAAAAACTAAGATATATTTTGAAAACAAACAATAAAATCTAATATAATTATATGTTTATTGATTTATGCATAACCATAGAATTATTCACTTTGATAAGTATAAAAATATGTTAGACACAAAATCTATGATTTTTTGAAATAGATTTATATATTAAGATGATTTGTGATGTATGTCTTTTGCATATGTTCGTTCAAGATAATTAATAAATGCTCTTGTCATTGTTGTTGTATGATTAGTTAAAATTTTCGATGTAGATTTTAAGTCAGTATTATGAAAAAAATATGGTATTGTAACAAAAGTTAATTGTAAATGTTCATCATCAACTGATTGTTTATTAGATGCTAAAAACCATTTTTCTGTTGTAGTATCATATTCTAAACCAGCATAAGTTATATACATTCCAGTATTAATACTACTTAAACCACGAGTTAAAACTTTAACAAGTGATGAACCATTAATATGTACAGTTGTGAGATTTGCTGTAAATGGTAAACAACGTAAAATATCATATTGACTTATTGTACCCATTAATTGATCATCAAGACGAATAGCACCTGAATTAAAGACACATATTGTTGTATTCGTTGCATTCATCACAGCATTACATAATGCATGTGATAGATGTGTTTGTTGAGAACGTATCATTGCTGAACGACCATCCAAATTAAAACCAACCGGTAAAGTACATACTATACGATCAGGTTCATAACCTAATGAAAAATAAAAACAAATAAATAAATAAATTTATTGAAACTATTTTAATTACCTTCTATACGATAGGATTGTAAACCGGTTTCATAATAATACTTAGCTACTTGCGCTGTTTTAGGTTCATCAGGAAAATGAGGTGATACTCGTGTAAGTTTCGAATAGATTAATAATTGTTTTTTTTGAGGATGATATGCAAAACGATGAATATATACTGTAAATGCATTATCATCTGCTTTATATATTGGTGTATATTTTGATCCACGTTTTAAATAATAATTTTCATGTTCATGTCCACCCATAAGTACATCAATAGATGGATTATGTTCAACTATTTCAATATCATTTTGCATATTTACATGTGTTAAACAAATAAGTACATCCCATTTTAAATGTAAATCATGACGAAGATGTTTTATATAATGTGCTGTAAATTCTGGTAATTCTCGTTGAGATGTTATATTAACATAGGGTTTATCTGGTATTGGTCCAAGATTATCATCAATAGTTAAACCAATAAGAAGAATTGTAACATTTGAAATTTTGACAATTTTATATGGTAAAATATTGTGAAATGGTTTTGTTGAATTACGTTCATATACATTTGATGCTATCCATTTAAAATGAGATTCATCTAAACGAAGTCGTAATGATTGTTCTTGTAAATCAAATTCATGATTGCCTAATGTAGCATAATCAACACCAAGAACATTGAATGTCGCAATCATTTGTTTACCATCTAACGGAATACCATTAACTTTGCTATTTCCTAAAAAATGAATTTTGTATGAACATCGAAAAATTATTTTATTATTTAGAAATAGTATCTGACTCTTTTTCTTTTGTAAAACATAATTATTTTGTCAAATAAATTAAATCAATAAAAATATGTTTACTAAGTAAATTTATCCTTTTCAAAATAACTTTTATGTTTGACCACAAAAAAAACGTTCGATTTCATATATCATTTTTCTTCATATATTAGTAAATATTATCTTTTCATACCTAATGCTGATGGACTAACAATATCACCCGATACAACAGTAATTGTATTTGGATTTTCTTGAAGAAGTAAATTTCTAATAGTTGCTACACGAGCTAAACCACCTTTTTTTCCACCACCTAATGGTATCATTTCATAAACATCATTCATTTGTAAAAATGTCCATTGAATATATGAATGTGGATTGTTCAATAAAGGAGGTGAACCAATATCATCAAGATATGGCATTGCTCGAAGATGTGAATGAACAACTGACGTCACTTTATTTGGTGTTCTTGATGGTGATGTACCATATTCTACTGGATCAATTGTACGGAACCAACCAATCGTAGCAATGAGTACAGATATAACACAGAGAGATGTTAAAAAAACTATTTGCCAAACATTTAATTTAATTTCACTTCGACAATTCATGATTATATATAATTCTAATCACCGATATAGTGTTCTTCTATTTTCAATTCTCTAAATAAAGTAATTATGAGGATTATATATTCAGGGTGTTAAACTATTCTAGATTTTATTTATGACATATTGGATATAAAAAAATAAAATTTAATGGCGAACTGATATGTGTTAGTTTCTTAATCAAATACTTGTAGAAAAAAGTCGAATGAGAACTTTGAATAGAATAAGAAAAAAAGAAGAAAAAAAAGAAGAGCAACGTTGTTTTTTTCGTTTGTCGTTGTCAAACAATAAATAAATCTCCTCACCTTTTATTGATTGATTTGTTAAATAGAAGAAAAGAAAAGGCGAGACAACTTTACTGATTTTATTGGAGTTTTAGTATATACATGTATACACATATATATATATATATGTATGTGTATATATTTATATATACTGAGAGATCGAGGGTAAAAGAAAAGAAGAGAGAGAGAGGGAAAAGGAAAAGCGACGTTAAATGGCAAGAAACTGATACATTCGTCATTTGGCCATTGTGAGAGAATTATATCCTTATTAGACTACTGATCTCAATCATTCAGAACCATCCCATTAGGTAAACTAGGCGATGAAAGAATAGGACCATAATGTTTCTGACATATACAGTAGAACTATCGAGACAACAAATCATAGTGTGAAAAGTCATTTGTTTCTGTTGGTAAAACATATTACATTAGTCGTTTTAAGACTTCATTAAATGGGTGTGATAAGATTATATATATATATATAATTTCATTATATACATTAGTCATATGGGTTTTATTTTAATTCCAGTTGACATCTTTTAACTTACATTTAGATTATAAAGCATATAGATGAAAATCAACAAAACTAAATGATGCTAAGCATGAAAATAAAGCTCATTCATTTCCATAAATAGTATATATAACTTGTCATTCTTCTTCTCTTTATAATTATAAAATAACAGAGAATGAAAAAAAATGATATAAATACGTGTAAAAAATATCAATGAAAATTTTAATCAATATAATATCAGGCCTCGCAGCGGCCTATGTTGAAAATCAGGAAAATAGGCAGGACACAAATGGAAAAAAAAATCAGGAATTTAAATAAATGTCAGGACATTGCAAAATGTATTGACATACCTCTATTTAGTGTAGAATTTACGTAAATATAAAAAAGAATAACGATTGAAAATTAATATTTCAGTATAAATTGCTTTAATAAACGTACACGAACAAAAAAAAATTACAAGAAGAATTAAACAAGATGACTAATATGTTAGACGCAGGAACTACAAGACTTGCTGCAGCTATGCAGAACAAAAGATTTGATGATATCGATACAGCCGAAGTACTAGTGGCAGCTGCTAATAGTAAATTAGCTACTTTGAAAACTAAATTAATTGAAAATAATGAAAATTTCAACCGATTAAGAAAAAAAAATAGAAGAAATGAATGATTGAAATAAATGTATTTTGAACCTTATCTTTTGTTTTGATGAAAATAGTTCATAAAATATCAGGACAAAATCAGGAAAGTAAACACACTGCGAGGCCTGCATATATTAATTATTTATATATGTAAAAATAAAACTTATTGATATATCATGTCCAGATTTTTTTTGTATTCTACCAAAGAATTATCACATTAAATATTTACATTAAAACATGTTTCTTGTTTATGACAGGTATCGAATGCATCTTTGAATATAGAAGAACTTATTCGAGAATTTAATGAACCTAATTTAAATGTGTTGATTATCGATTGGTTTGGGATAAATAGCTTAAAGGTCATAAGCTTCATTATTTTCATTCTATAATAAAACGAAAATCTTTTGTAGATAAAAAAACATGGGTTTTATTGGCAAATTATTTTACCATTATTTATAAGCAATAGAGATGTGCGCATACTTTCTTTTTTTGTAGTGTAGTAATGAGCATGTTTTATTATATTTCAACACGTAGTAAACAATTTCAAAATGAACCAACAAGAAAAAAAGTTATTCGAAATGACACTTCTCAACAGTACATAGTTTTGAGCAAAAAACATGTCGGAACCGATCTCTCGATTCAAATCTTATATTATGTCAAATTCCATATTAACTATGATCACAATGATATATTGCCATCGAAGAATATCGAATTGATATTATTCGTTTTTCAGTTTTCAACAGGAGGTTTAGTTCGTTACAGAAAGTGTCGCAAAAACACAATTTTGACTTTTTCACATTTCGAGATATTTGTTTAATTTATTTTAATAATTTTTCAAACTGAAATTAATCTTTATCTATTTTATTATTGTGAAAACATTGAAAAAATTAACAACATAAATTTGATAATTTAGGACAACTATGTATTGATATTATTATATAAAATTTATTTTCTATGATTTTCTTTAGATATTATCAGCAAATGGCTGAATACAAATAATGTATAATCTACAATGTAGCTGATTTAGTTTATGTTATTTCATGTTTATTACTTGTTCGCTTTTTTGTATTAAATATGTTTGTTTGGTACTGGTGTTGAACAAGAACGTGCAAAAAAATTGAACGTAAACGACGTCATATGCATGAAATATCACATTATATACATTTTTCACCATGGAGAAGACATTTCCATGATGCATGTAATAGTAAATATTTTGACTTAATCATTGCTGCTGCTGTTATTAGTCCTAATGTTGTTACAATATCATTAGAATTTTATTTAACACTACCGATAATATTCAAATAAAATATATTTATATTAGAGGTTTTGTTTGTTCTTCTAAATACTCGAATTTCATCATTTAAATTCTGTATTAACAACTGCATTTGAATCAACAACAAGAGTTATTGCATTAGGACCATTCCGTTATTGTAAAGAAAAGTACGAAATGAAATTTTGTTAGATGGAATCAACTTGATACAATGATTGTTGTTTTATCAATTGGTGTTATGAGAGTTATGAGAATTGAACGAGGTAATTAGTTTATTTGATTCAAAAATTTACTATTCTAAATCTTGACATTTTAGATAGAGAGTAGAAAACAAGATGTTTTGAAACAATGAGTACATTTGGCATGGTTCAGTTTTCTTCGAAATATGCACATCTATGGAGAGTTCACTTTTAATAAATGCTCTTAGTGACCATTCCATTATCTTCTACTAATTGTTCATTATTCTCTTCTTTGTATCACCAGACAATTAGCGGGTGTGGATAAGTCCCTGTGAATAGTCGTGCGTGATATTTTCATCTTGTATACATCCACACCTACACCCAAAAAATATTTATCTTTATAAAAAATAATGAATAAATCATTTATTATATTAAAAAGTAAAGAAATATACGGAAAAGCATGGCTTATAAGGCAACATGCTTTGTTATTTAAGTATATACAACAATGTATGTAGTAGTGCCCTCTACAACTGCAGCATTGACACATTGATGAGTGAGTTGTCATATGAGTAATAGTGCATATATATATATATTCTTTCATTTCACTCGTTCTGCTCGTTCATGTTTTTTCTAT